TCGACGTCCACTCGTGCACTAGCTAACAACTCCTTAGCCATCACGAATCTAGCTCCAAGACACCTCCTTTTGGTATAAAGGTCGAGTCTTTGCACTAAAGTTTTGGTTTTTAGCACAAAGATGGTACCTTTGAGCTACGAAAACTGAACTTGAAGAAAAGCTTGAGACTTTAACGCGGAACTTGATGGATCTTCACTAAAGGTCTCACCTTTCTTCACAAACTCCAAAGCTTGAAGGTTTCCTTCGAAAAAGCTGTCACCTTTCTTCTTCCTCTTCAAAAGGTTCGAGCTTTCTTCAAGGACCTGGCTCTGATACCACTTGTTGTGGATTTAACCACCTTAAATCACCTTAAGCTTCGTTTAACTCTCTCTCTACACTCGCTTTACTCGTTTGTTTACCGATTAAGTGTGTTGTACGGAAACAAAGAGATAAGAAAGAAAAGCAAGAACACACGGTTTGTTAACCCAGTTCAACTCATCGGTATGATGAAGTCTACGTCTGGAGCCGGATCAGTCCAGGCAATATATTACCAGAGAGAAAGTGTTTTACACTGTTTTTTCAAGACACTACAGCCTTAAACAAGAAGCAGAAAGACAGAGTAAAAATGCGACGACAACAAGAGATAGAAGGGTTTGATCCTTATATAGATTTGCAGAAGAGAACTCTCCAAGTCGCACAGAGTCTTTAGTCTTTAGGGTGTAGCCAAAGCACACCGTTTTGATTTAAACTCTGTCTCAGGTCTTCAACAAACCAAACTGACCATCTTCAATCTCTCACTAAACCGAACATTGAAACTTGAGGCACAAAACCAACATCAACTTCAACTAGAGTCTTGGTCAAGTCTTTTTTGTCATCATTTCTTTGTCCGTACCATAATCTCCCGCCTTAGTTATAGCAGTAAACTATAGTCTATGATTCCGTAATTGTAATTACATTGATATAAACGATTGATTTACAGCTTGGATATAAACAGAAAGAAGCGAGTTGATTTGATTTGGCCAATTTGTCAAACGCTCCACATCATTATCACCACACAACACATGTGTTCGAAATTCGAACTTTCGTGAAAGAAAAAGAATGGTATTATAAATAAAATCCACTAAAGTAGTAAAGTAAGGAGAATAATGAATGAGGAAAATGACTAATTGGAGCTTGATGATGAATTAGCTTAACGAGAAAACAAAATCTGTTTAGGCAGGAAATTTAATGTCACTTTTGAATACACACTTCCAAAACTTATAGTTAAACTACAAGTTATCATGGATTTAATTTCAGAAGTTCCACGTTATTTATTTGTTTATTTATCCTCTACTGAAACGTGGCTGTCCATTTTAACTTTTTCTCAGGGAATGTTTCTTCTTTTTTTAATTCGCAATGTTCAAAGTTCTCACTTCTCAGTGAACAAGTTTCATTTGATTTGATTAAAATCATTCAACATGTGTGTTTGATACAATTCATTCGGAACTCACTTTTTATAAAAACTAAAAAATTTAAAAAATTACCATAATTGCTTTTGGATGAAAAGAAACGCCCAAAATTAAAAGGAGATTCTGAGATAATGGTCAAAGCAAATGAAGATATCGTTCATTTATTAATCTTACGGTTATAAACAGAGGTGCATCAATGGTTACAATGAAATCGGAATATAGAATCACACACCAAAGCTTTTTTTTTTTTAAATCGACTTTCGAACCGCGTCTTCTTTACTCTCTCTGCGAGATTGTCGTGTGAGAACACTGGACTCACACTTCAACTCTCGAGCTTCGTCTTCATCATCTTCTTCTTCCTCCTTTGCATTCTTCTCAATTCTTTTGGCTTCTGCGTCTATTATTTCTTCAAGGCTGAATTCTTGTCAAAACCAAAAAAGGTCAGATTTTTCTTTTACAAGAAATCTAAGTTTTTATTTTTCTTAACTGTTGATCGAGTTTTGTAAATGCTCAGTTACGATGTATGATTCTCTGCTTTTTCCCAATTGAGATGTAAAATTTAGATTCTAGGGCTTTGATTAATAACCAGGCGGAATTGTGTTGTTTTATGGTATATCATTGCCATTTATTTCTGAAAAATTGCATCTTTTATAAGGATGATGATAAAACTCTTGAATACAAACGTTAAAAATAAGCCAAAATGAGAGAAAAAAAAATTGACGAATGTTTTGATGCTTTCAATTGTCTGATTTATTGGTCGTGTGATATACTGATATGGACTGTTTTAGGGTAGCTCTGTTGTTGAGTCTTATGACAGATGAAAATTCTCTTAAATTTTTATATACATTTTCAGCTAAACTGTAGACCCTTTTAAAGTTTGTTGTATTTCACATCGCTCACATTTTTGAAGGGAAAAAAAAAAACAGATTTTGATTTAAGCGAGAGAAGGATGTAGTCGTTAAAATCCAGTATATTGTTTAGTCTGTTATGGATATTTTCAGTTTCTTGTAGGTTTAGGCAATGAGTGATCCACGGGTGAGATCGTTCCAAATCACTCCTGACGATTTAGAGGCTGCTCAGCTTGATGAACTCATAAGGGAAATAGAACACAAGAGTCTCTTTTACTACAAAGAGAAAAACAAGTCTTTGAGAGCTCGTTATGTCTACGGAACAATCTTCTTGATTATAAATCTATGCGCTTGGTTCATCCGTGACTACGCACAAAAGGCTCTGGCCTTGCTCCCATGTAAAAGTCATAATCTTTAGAGATGTATCTAATGATAATGTAGAATCTAAAGATGTACACTGATATGAAACTTTGTGTTGAGATTGTCAATGCAGATGTCAGTAGCTGTGGACCAGAAGGAAGTCATTGTTTCCATACGCTTGGAGTACTCCGAGTGAGTCTTGGATGTTTCGTATCCTGATAATGAAACTTTTGCTGATATAATCACTAATGTTTTGGTACTTTTAAGTTTGTTTATCCTTAGCAATGAAAGATATTTTTCCTTGTTATGTTCCTCTCAACATGGAACACAATGAAACTCCACCAAGCTCAAAACTATTGGCACTCGGATTATTGGACCTTCAAGTTTTTCCTGCTTGTTTCAGCCATGGTAGCATCTTTCTTCATACCTCAGCTTTACATCCAAATTTATGGTATGTTCCTGTCTCACTATAGATCTATAATCTTTTTCCATTTGACATTGATTGGTTTCAAGACAATGATGTTTTGCTTTACAGGAGAAATCGCCCGTGTTGGTGCTGGGTAACTTCACCTCTCAAGTTACTCTCTTTATATAACAATTATGTAAAAGAAACACATGTTTCTCATACCATTTTCTATGGTTTCAGGATATTTCTTGGTCTTCAGCTTGTAAGTGTTATCGAATTCATCACTTGGTGGAATAACTACTGGATGCCTAATAACCAAAGCAAGCAAAGGTAAGTAAATATTTACTCATTACAAAAGTGTTAGGTTCTATGTGATTTGATCACCTGTTGGTTTCTACTGTGTTTTCTGCAGCTGCTCTTTTGGTTTGGTCATGTCAACAGTTTTCTACATCGGTTCTGTTTGTGGGATTGCAGTGATGTACTACTTCTATGCAGCTTCCACTGCTTGTACCCTCAATATATTCTTCATCTCATTGACAGTTCTTCTTCTAGTCATTATGATGGTTATGTCCTTGCATTCAAAGGTACATTTCCTGAGTTTTTCTAGGTGGTTACACAAGGATCAATCTCTATGTCCAGTTCTGACGGTTTTATGTTGCTTTTTCATTAAAGGTGAACAGAGGACTTTTGTCATCTGGGATTATGGCTTCCTACATTGTTTTCTTATGTTGGTCTGCGATCAGAAGGTAAAGACAAAACCCAAAAATCTGACTTTTGTTTGGTTGGTTCCTCATAACATTACTAAAGTACAAGTTATGTACCAGTGAACCTTCTAATACGAAATGCAATGCGCATACTCAAAACGGTCATGCAGATTGGATTACAATTCTGGTAAGAGCTAAAAGCCTCAGTTTTTTTGCTTACTTAGAGTCAATGTCAATCTCACTTTTTGATATTTGTCCTTTTTATATTTCCTTTGTTCAGAGTTTCCTTATAGCTATAGGCGCCATTGTGATGGCAACATTCTCAACCGGGATCGATTCAGAATCCTTCAGGGTAAGTTAAACATTCAATCTCAGCTTGGAAATCAAGATTTTTCCTGACGCAGGCAATGGATCTAATCTACAGTTCCAGTTCCGTAAAGACGAAGCTAAAGACGAGGATGATATACCGTATAGCTATGGATTCTTCCATCTTGTGTTTTCCTTAGGAGCAATGTACTTTGCTATGTTGTTCGTCAGCTGGAACCTCGAACATTCAGCTCAGAAGTAAGAAATATTCTATATTCCATCTCCAGGTTTTTGTCAATAAACTTAACGTCATGAATATGAAACTGTATTATATAAATGTAACATAGATGGAGCATTGATGTTGGGTGGACAAGCACATGGGTGAAGATAGTGAATGAGTGGTTTGCCGCAGCGATATACCGTAAGTTAAAACATAAAATGGTTTCAATATCGTATTTCAGTTCTTGATCTTACAGAAGCTCTAAGTGAGAGAGTTAGTTTTGTAATCAAATTTAAAATTATACTAATTTAGTCAGTTAATACCATTTTTTTTTTGTTTATTGATTTTGAGTTTGAATACAGTATGGAAGTTGATTGCTCCTATTGTGAGACAGCCTAGAGTTCATGAACAACCTCAGCCAACAACAACACAAGTCAGCCGACAGATAGATGAAGTGAATTTTCCCTGACATTGCTCAATTGTTTTTGAAGTTAATACAGAAACAAGATCCATCATCATTGAGGCCATACTTGCATCTCCATCTTTGTAAAGCTTTTCTTACCAAGTTCATTCATTTTTAACCTTAATGTGATCCCATAAAGAACATAATCCAATGTACAACCTTGGGTGAATAAAAAGAAACGATTCTTGAAGAGTGTCTATGCAAAAGTCATATCAAAGAGTAATGAAACAAAAAAAAAACGAAAAAAAGGAACCATGCATGGTTGATCATTGTTTATCAGATCCTGGAACAAACCAGCGAGTGTTGGAGCAGCCAAAAGGAGATAGAGACCAGCTTATTTCGGTTGTGGCAAGATCAAAAACACCGGCACAACTTTGAAACTCTGTACATAACTTTGGAGGCCAAACATCATCAGCAACGAAACAGATTGAATCCCTCTTGCTGATTCCTCCACCACCAATATCATCTTTAGCTACTATTGTCAACCCATCACCAAAAACCAACATCTCATCGCCCAGAGAATCTACTCGTTCCCACTCGTGGCCTTGAAGATTCATCTTAAAGATGTAGAACAAACGTTTCTCTTGGTTCTCAGGGAATCCTTTTAAGCTCACAATGATTAGAACATCTCCTGAAACCGTGATCGCTAATCTCCTCTTCCAAATGTATTCCCAAAGTTGCGGAACATACTCAAACGGATGATTCAGATACGGGTTTGCTTCAACGATCTCATTAGGTAAATCACCAGAGTAATCAAGAACCATGATGTAATGATCATGGTATAAACAAAAAGCTTTTGGTCCTTGTAAGCCATAGCTAAACACTTGATACCTTGAAGATGCCACCAAAAGTCATCTCCTTTCTTGTAAGAGAACAAGTAGAGATCGTTGTAAATCCAAAAAACCGAAAAAGCTTTGGTTTTTCCATCAACCCACAAAACAGCCGTATTGATATACCTGTTGATGATAGCTTCACGATTCCTGCGAGAGTGTTCGAGGATTAGATCTCCATCGTACTTTCTTCGGAATCTCGATACACCGATTTTGGGCGATAGCGAGAGAGACGGAAGGTCGAATCTTTCGGCGGTGAACACGTTCACGACGGAGAAATCGAGACGAGGGCTAAGCAACAGCAGCCAATTGCCGTAGCTCGCGACGCAACGGCTCTCTGATAGCTCGTCGCCGAGATCGTTCGTCTCGTAGGTCTTGTCTTCTACAGGATCGAAGAGGCTACACGATTCCGAGATGGAGAATTTTTCCGGGAAAGTAATCAGCCATGGATACCTGTTTCCAGATGCTGCGATGCGTGATTTCAGTGCAGAGTACCAGGTCGAACAAACTGTTCTCGCTCGGTGGAAATCTAGAAAGTTCAAGCTTTCGAAGATCAGTTGCAATGCATCGGTGCAGATCTCTGACCAGTGAAGCTCTGTAGATTTCATCTCTTCTTCTCTCTTGGTCATCTCTGCTCTTCTTAGGGTTTCCGTGTTCCTTAGCTCCTACTCCATATAGAAATTAGAAATAAAGGATTAATTAGAAAACTAGATGACCGTCATGAAACATAATATTTTCCTTCCCATAATATCCCTCCTATATCTTATCCTAAAGATAGATACACAAATATTTACATCATAGTATTAATTTTGTTTCAGATTATATTTTATTTTTAAAACAAATGAACTGTCACGACCGGAATCAATATAGTTTTTAGAAACCTGGTAAAACTTAGGTTACAAATAATGAACCAGATATACAATGAGTAAATTTAATTAGATTTCTCTTAAAAAACATTAAAATTTGGATTTCTCTTAAACAACATTCCAATTAATTTGTTGAAAGGAAAAAAAAAAAGAGTAAAAAGGTAGATTTATTTGAAGTAGGATCCAGCTTGAGTTATGGACAATTTAACCCAAGTTTGATTCCGCAAGATCCGAGACACCAATGAAGTCTATGGAAATGTGCCAAATGGAGTACAAACATCAAACGAGAGTTAAAGAAGCAACCATTGTTTGACACTTGCTCAGAGAAACCTATGAAGTCTATATATATGTAAAGAAATACACAAATAAGTATTTCATGACCCTCCCAAGTTTTAAGACAAGTCAGAGATTTTATCAAAAGCAATGAACCTTGTAGTTATTCTTCTGTCTCTTATAATTGCTCTTCATTTTGAGTCGAATGAAGCTGGGTGCCATAAAAACACCGTAGCAATTCAAAACAACCTTACTCTTAGCCGTAGTATTCTCAAAGTCCATTGCAAATCCAGAGATGACGATCTAGGCGACCATTTTCTGAGATTTCAAGACGTTGCATACAATTTTAGTTTTCATGATCATTTCATTCAGTATACAATATTCAGATGTATCTTGTGGAAAGGTGCTAATCTGGAATATCATAAGAACTTTACAGCATATCATGCAGATAAATATAAGACATGTGGGGCATTGTACGCATGGAACGCACGAGATGATGCTATTTACTTATCAATAACGGGTAAGCCGGAGAAGCTTATGTATAGTTGGATTAAAGATTAATGTTCATACTACTATTAAGTTCTTACTTTCATCTTATGAGCTAGCTGTGTTACCTCTTCTTTTTTTGGTGTTCGAATAGACACCAAAATGGGTTATAAGAAGCATATGTTTTCTTTCGATTTCTGTTTATGAAACATGTTTACAATTTATTATTTTGCTTAGTAGCTAGAACCTATTAGCTTAAAGCTTTGTCTTGATTTAGAACCTATGAGTATTGTCTTGATTTCTCTAAGTATATGGTCTGTGAGCTTTTTTCTTAATAAACCAAGTTTAGAGGATCTAAATGTTGGGAATGGGTTAAGTTAACCCTTGCAAAACTTTCTCTTAAAACCATAAACTTAATCAACCATGAAATTACGAATTTCCAAAGGATAAATCATGCTAAAGGCTTGTTATCCTTAAACGCCATATCTTAACACTTGGTGGCTTGAAGATTCCTTCGCCACATTTCATCTCCTTTCTTGTATGTGAACAAGAATTTTCGTTTGATGAAAGTAGATGACGTTGGAATTGTCGGAGTTTTTTTCTATTTTTGTTTTTTGTGTGTAAGAATGAGTGTTTAACAAACGAATTTTAGAGGATCAGTAGTAAGGTCTGTATATTGGGATTGAGAGTTACTTATTCTTGCAAAACCTTGGAAAATCATATGCTAAATCCCCAAAAATAAAGATAAACAATAAAATCCTCCAATAATCAGATCATACTTGAACAAAGTTGTTAACAGAAAATTAAAGTCAAGTAGCAAATAAACAACTTAGCTTTGCTTCAGCTGCTGAGTCTTTTAAGACTGGGCCTAAGGAGAAACCACTCTCCTGATCAAAGACTAAGCATGTCCAGGAACAAACCAGGAACTCTTCAAGAACGAATCATCTAATGTTTTAGGCCATGTGATGCTACTTTTCGCAAGATCGAATACACCGCATTTAGTTCGTCTGTTGGTATTAAAATAATCTTGACCTGGCCAAAGATCATCACCCATGAAACAGACTGAATCACTCTTGATTCCCTCACCATCTATCACTTTGACCGGGGCTCTTATTGTGAGCCCATGACCAAATATCAACATTTCACCACCAAGAGAATCTACTCTTTCCCATTTTCCATTTCTAACATTCATCTTGAAGATGTAAAACAAACCTTTCTCTTCTTTTAAACCTTTTAAGCTTAGAGCTATCAAAACCTCTCCAGAGTTCGTAATTGCTACTCTCCTCCTCCACACAGGTTGCGAAACAAAGCAAAAACGACTACAAAGATACGGGTTACCTTCCAAGATCTCATGTGGGGAATCTCCAGAAATATCAAGAATCTTGATGTAACCATCAGATGTATACACGTAGAGCTTTTTGTTCTTATACGCCATAGATTCACACGATGTGCCTTGAATATCACACCAGGAGTCATCTCCTCTCTTGTATGAAAACAAGTAATGTTTCTTGAAACTCCAGGCTACTACATATTCCCCTGTTCTCTCGTTCATCCAAAGACAAGCCGATATATTTGAAGGGGTTAGGTTAATAAAATGTTTCCACTCTTCTTTTCGTTGGAATCTAGAGTGACCAAGAAGCGCTGAATCCATCGATGGGAGATCGATCCTCTCGCGAGTAAACACATTCAAGAGATACAAATCTTGACGAGAATCAGCAATCAGGAGCCAGTTGCTGCAACTAGCCATAACATAGCTACTTAAAAAGTCGACTCCAGGATGTTCTATTTCGTGAATCTCGTCTTTTCCGGGATCGAGAAACAAAGTAGAATGCTTACTGAATAGGATCAGCCATGGATACAGAGGTCGCATACATGTTCTGGAAACGGAGTACCAGTCTGAGCAAACCGTTCTCGCTCGATGAAAATCATTAGTGCCTAAGCCTTCGAGGATCGATACCAAAAGATCGGGACAAAGCTTGGACCAATCATACCGAATTCTCGACATTGTCTTCTCTTCAAATCGTTCTCAGTTGTTGCAAGTGTAAGAAAATATTCCCAATTGATGTAAGTGTGTAAGAAAAGTTAGGGTTTAGGTTTTGTATGGAAGAAAAACTTAATGGGCTGGGCCTGTTAGCCCAGGACTAGAAAGCACATATAAAACAACTAAGCAGAGTTAGGAAACTTGTCTGAGATGAGACTTCTATGAGGGTTTGTTAGAGACATGGTCTTGATCTCTGTTAAGATTATGTAAAAGGTAAGTGTTCAACATAACATTAACTTCACAACTTTCACTGGATAATCAGCTAAATTTTTTTGAGAAGATGATAAAAGCTAAAATAAAGCATGTTATAATCAAAATTTTGATAAACCCAAAATCAAAGACTGATGATAAAATAGAAAAGAGAATTATGTGATTGTTTCTCAAACTAAGAATTGTGTAACTAAAAACAACACGGAACAACAAGTAAGTTTGAAACCAATCATAGCTCACGAAGACAAGGAATAAACCACCTCGCGTAACCAAAGTTAAAATTTGTGTTAAAATTTGGAAACCTCTCCAACGATTGAGTCGAAACATCGCCACAATAAACAAACTTATTTCCACTACAAGTGTAATAAATCGAGTTTGGTTTGGTCTCTTCAATTGCTGGTACAGTCACACCAAGATCAGTAATCCAAGATTCACCCCCTAATGAATCCACTTTATCCCATGTCCCTTCTTCTACATTCAACTTAAGAATTTTGAAAATCTGATTCAACCGATTCCAAACAAGCAAAACATCTCCAGAGACAGTAACCCCGATCTTACTACGCCATTGACTTTCATACTTAAACGGATCATGATGAACGTTTTCCGGTATCGCTCTAGGGAGTTCTTGAGAGAAATTCAAGATTCTGATCTGGTTTTGACAAGTTAAAACGTAAAGCTTGTTTTCCTTGTAGACAAGATCTTGACATCCATGGAGACTCTCAGGACCTTCTCTTGTAGGTATCTCTCTCCATGAATCGTTTCCACGTCTAGTGAACATTATATAGAAGAGACCTATCGACCAGACGACAATGTAATCTTTGGTTTTTTCATCGACCCATAAAACCGCTTTTGTCTGGCTTAGAGCTTTTGTTGCGTCTATGTACGAGTACGATTGATTGATCAAGAAGCTGAATGTATTGTCTTCGAATCTCATAACACGTAGCCTCCCTTGGTGTGACTCTAATGGCGGAAGATCGATTGTCTCGCGTGTGAAAAGATTCAAGACGTATAAACTCGATCGAATGTCTAACATTAAAAGCCAGCTTCCCGAAGTCGCGATACATCGGTTAGCAGAGAAGTCTTTACCGAGATTGCTCAGTTTGTAAAATTTATTTTCTTGGGGATTGAACAAGTGACAAGAATTGCTCTTTGGTCTTTTTGGAGGGAAAATAATCACCCATGGAAACGTGTCCTGCACGGAAGATATTTGTTTGCAAACTCTGTACCAGTTCTTGCAAACGCATCGAGCTCTGAGGTTACTGATGATGTCCAAACGTTCCAGGATCAATTTCAGAACATCGGAGTTAAGCTCCGACCATATTCTGTAGTTCGACATTGAGATTTGCCTAGACGAGTTGTAAATTTCTTGGTTTTATAATGGTTTCTAAATTTCCTTCTTCAAAGAGAGATAGAAACGTTTTAGTTTTTCCTTGTTTTTTGGGTCAAAGGAAAAACGTTTTAGTTTTATTTGAAAGTATCTATTCATAATCAAACTATGTTTCAATATGTCGTAATTATCCATGTATATTATTGATTTTATAAAAAAATAAATAGATTTATTGGTAATAATAAATAGATTTATTGGTAATCTTTGGGCTTCTAGAAATGATATTCTTTGCTACAAATACAAATCGATATTTAGATTTGTCACCAAGCTTCAACAACTCTATAAACATCTGTTACACATTAGGCAAGAAAGATCGATACTAATTTCAAGTAAAAAAAGTTTAGAAATTTGCAGGACTATCATCGAGTTGCTTCTCATCTTCGATCTCAACTTCAAGAATCTCAGGGATTCTCTGTTTCAAGTAGTTTCCAATTCGAGCTAGAATCATTGCACGTGTGTGCCAAAACTTGCCTCTTAGACTTATCTTAACGAACGGTCCGTCTAGTTCCACTAACTCTACTTGTCCTGTTATCCCAACCGATAAATCGAAGAGCTGTGCGAGCTGTATTACAAAACCAAAACATGATTTGTTTCTTATCAAAAATTCACAAATTCGAAACCTTGTTTTAGAAGAAGAATCTTAGTCTTAGTTCTGTTATAAACAAAAAAACGAAATAAGATTATTTCCTCTACAAGCAACGATTACTCTGTTTTTTACTATTCATACAGAATCTAATATCCTTAAAAGCCGGTTCGGTTGAATAAAATTCCGGTATCGTGAACCGGTTGTAAATCTCTTTCATACCAATCTAGAATTAGGCAGACGATAAGGTTAAAGAAAAACTTACCTCGATGCGAGCTTCGGATAGGACCAGACGGATATTATCCTCCGTCAAATCTAGGGGCGGAAGCGAAACTCCGCCGCCGGAAACTGCTTCTACCGTCGTTAGTGTTCTTGCTCTTGATTTCTCCGCTAAGGTCGTTCCGTCGTACGTCAATTTTCTCATTCTAACGTTGCTGAATCGTAGAGTAAGTCCATTCCGGTTTACTAATGAATTTCCGGTCTGATTTGGTTGTAAACTCGGCGGAGCCGTACGGTGGTGATACGGAAACGCCACCACTTCCATGGCCGCTCAGTACCGCATATTTCGTCTAATTGGTAAGGACTTAATGCGTTCTGAATCTTCTGATAATGATGATGGTGACGTGGCAAAAACCTTAACCGTTCGTTTTTACTTCGATACTGATCAGCTTGATGGGCTTAACAATTACAAAATTGTATGGGCCTAAATCCAGTTGCTTAAAAAGCCCATCATGTCATACGACTATCAACGTTTGCCATTTCTGTTCTCTCTCAAGTCACAAGTAACAAACATATGTATATCATCCATAGAACAATTAAAAAAAAGTTTGAAAGTCACTGTTCTCAATTCTAATAAGATTAAATTCAATGATTTTTAGATAATGTTAGGATTATTAACCAACATACAAATGGGTATCGACGTAATGAAAGCAAGAGAATAATTAGACCAAATTCATGAATTAATCACCTAATTTTTTTTATTTATGACTCTAATGTTGTAGTGTGCCCATAAGGAAAAGATAAAATCTGTAGATAAATAGTGTACTTATTTTTGAATGATGGTGACTTTGACAAGTTATATGGTTGCAAGCTTACAATGGCAAAGTGGAAAAAAAGGGAAATGAGGTGACATGGACATGTGTGGGCCTTCCATTATCCACCATCTCTCTCGTTCACACGCTTGTGTGGATCCTACAGGGAGACGTACGTACGATTGCGTATACGTGTATATTAGTGAATAGTAAGTGTATGTATATGTATAGTATATAGACACATTACAGATACATGTATGTATATCGTGTAGGATATCATTAGTTTTTGGGAATGAGAACGTGAATGGTTTTGCACATAAAGAATCGAGCCAATTACGGGTTCTGGATTTGAAGTTAAACACAACGTTGAATGTTTTTATCAGCAGAATTTTGAATACTATGCTATATATATAGCACATATTACTCTATAAACCAAACGCACAAGTTATGGTTGATACATCATGCATGAATAAACAAATAAGATTTCTATTGTTATTATTATTATTATTTTGTTAACCAAAAAATAATAGGTCGAAGTCTAAATTAATCTCTAAAATCTATGAAAATGTGAAATTTCCATACTAAAACCACGTTTCAGTGACCGACAATGGTTAAAATTATTATTGAAAAACTCGAATCTCGTTCTTCAACAACTAATGTAATTTCAACTATATTGTTATTATTATCATATCTTCAACTATATTCGTTGGACTCTTGTAGTGAAAACAAGTTTTGTTTAATGACTTTTATTGCTTGAGATTTGATAACATTTAAAGTGTTATCTTGGGATTGATGCATATGTGAGATTATTTTAATACTTATACGTATGCGCCTACATTACAACTACAAGTCATCGGGTCTAAGAAATTATTTTAGACATGCAAATCAACTTCAATCTAATTATAAAAGAGCTTGAATTTATTTATTAGATGTATAAAGGAGACTTAACCACCTATATATATACATCTAATATTATTCGATCTCGGGAAGTTACGACCCGTAATCCTTTTTGTGTTTTCAGGAGATCATGAACTTGACTCCATCTGCGTCAGCTTAATTATTTGAAGTATCTATATATAATATATTTTTTGTGTGATTCAAAATCATTGTTGGTTTGATTAAGAAAAAGGAGCTACGACATAAAAAAAGAGAGTTAATTATGGATTGCAGTTGGTCTAGTTTAAGTCAATTGTAATCTTGGTTTAATATCGATTAAAAGTAAAGTCTAATAGATAATTAACCAAACTGTTTTTATGTTGGAACCGCATAACAAGAACAAAGCATCGTTCCTTTTTCCCCGTATAGTAATCTAGTAGATTTGTAGGAAAGACGTCTGACGGAGATTAGGATTATCATTCCAAAAGTCTGGATTCGTTAGTTCTTGTATGCATTCTTGTATTCTCTTCTTTTGCTAGAAACATTATTAATTTTTGTAATTTAAAAGCATTTTGGATTCGATTCTTGTCAAAGTTAGATTGAGAGCCGAAGAAAAAGTTACAAAACGTTGACCAAAGGTTTCGAGGTGAGTTTCCAATGCTAGCCACCAAACTTCAATCGTTTATCTGTTTATTCAAATAGTTTTTAAAACTATAAGGATCATTTTTGTTGTAGTATAAAAGATGGTGGACTAGATGTGATTTTGTATGATCAATTGCCATGAGTTTCCTTTACTATAAAACGATGGTGACAAGAATAGTAGAATAGATGAGTCTTATTAAACATTTATATAAATAAAAAAATGATTGATTTTCATAGTTATCTCATATCACAACTGATATATAATAATACTAAAGTTAGGTACTAAGGTTTTGTAAGGAAAACGATTTTACATCAATATATATTCCATTGCTAACTTGTTGAAGTGGCCAATCCAATTCAAAAGAAACAGAATAGTTTTAAAAATTAGATATATATAAAGAGAAACCGAGAAGGAGAAGAGTAACTAGCCTCCTTAAGAAAAGCGTGACCAATGTAGCAAGTAGACTCCTAGTGCATATCTCTTCGCATCTTGGCCAAACAATTTAAATAATGTCAAATATCACCTAATTTTATTTGAAAACTTTATTGGATATACATGTATTTATAGTGGCTATAGACCTACTCACAAAGTAAATGTCGTGTATCCAATAAAAGTTTTACAAAAGAAAAGTTCAATATGCAAAGTGCAAACCATCAAGTACACAAATGTAAATTCAATTGGCTATTGGCGTTGTTGATAATCATTCTTCATATTGGATTTTACAACCATAATACATCTGGTTTCATTTTAATGTATATGCAAATGATCTGTTCCCAGAAGTTTCAATTTAGACTTCAAATCAATGATGAGTTAGATTTGCCAATATCCATTAGGGAAAGTCTTTGAATAGTACTGAAGTCTTTGATTATTAGAGTACAATATAAAACTATTAACTATAACATAGATACTTATTGGGGTGAAGAAGAAAAGATACTAATGGGGGAGATTCATCCGAATTCTAAACTATTTTCCGACACATCCAATTATCCAAAGTATCATGCACATGTAAGAAAGTAACCACTTGGTTTTTAATTTTATTGATGTTTCATATTTATTTCAATACAGTTTGCCGCCTTAATTAATTTTGTTTTAACCAGTGGGGTAAATCTAACAATTATAGTGTCAAATATTATTTTTCTTAAACTCTGTTTTTTTCAAAAAAAAAAGAAATGTTGTCGACAAATATTACTGGGGTCCCCGTTCGAATATAAAGGCCCTTTCTGTGTTTATAATTTAATCGTTGCGTGTCAAGCAACATGAACCCCCCCAATGTGTCTTTACCAACAAAAGAAATCATCCTAATGTTTATAATTATTTATAACCAAGTTTTTAAAGTTTTTAGTGTTTATCACATTTTAACGCTATAATAAATAAAAAAATCTTAAAATAAATTCATCTGAAGTTTTGTTTATGTTTCTTTCTCATAATCGTGATGAATCTTACAGGGTTTATAATTTATAACCAAATTTCAAATAAGATGTACATGTGTTTTTTTTTTTGTTCTATATATGCAGTAATTCTCAATGTTTAAGTGTTAGAAACTTAGATGTTAAGTGGTGGCAATCAAGCATGAAGCATTTAGCAGCTAAACACTTAATCGATGTATAGCTGGGCTATATATAACATAACATATGAAATACTGTGGTTGGAAATATATATATATATATATATATATATAATAAATTTTACATATCAAAACATGAATATTACACCCTTTTTCATGAATGTTACACCATAATTGAGAATTAAACCAAACATTCATGAAATTCATTTCAAACAAACATATAAACTTCTTTAGTAAGTATTTAGTAATATTTTTATGAACTTCAAGCTAATAGATTAAATTGTATATAGTGAAATATTAAAAAAATTACAAAATAGTTAAATGATAATTAATTAACAATTTCATAAGACCGCTTAGAGCTAGTTAGATCCATTTAAAGCCGCCTCTGTTTTGTTATGCTTAATAACAAAACCGTCTAGCATCAACGCTTAAAAAATTGTTAATATATAGTTTTATAAACGTTTAGTGCTTAGACCCGTAAACGATTGTCTAAACCACTTTAAAAAACACTGGTAATTCCACATCGGACGGTGATATCTGACGATCCAGCGCCTTTCATTTGAACAGTTTAATCACGATCGCTACATGGGGCCCATATTCCCCAGTCACATCACAGTGTCCTTAAAACGGCACCGTATCGTACAATAAATCATGAAGACTTTTAGAATTTAAAGCAAATCTATTTGGTCAATTCATAATTTTCATTAATAGCTAAATTACTTTAACTCAAAGCAATGTTCGACAAAAAAAAACCATATTTATATCGAATTAGACTAATCAGCATTCTAATAAATTTTATTAAATTAATTTTAGAGGACAGAAATATTACACGATCAATTCGTTTCTTGGGAAATTAAATGAAAGATAAATTATCCTTACTACTAGTACAATTTTATAGATCAGTCAATGTGTGACTTTGACGTGTTTCTTTGAAATTTCAAATTTTCAATATCTTCTAGTGTACATCTCACATTGTGAGATAGATGTTAAATAATTATATGAGCTGAAAATTTCCTAGTAAATTTATGATTACCTTAATTTTGAAAAAATAATGCATATGGGTCTAAATAATCAGAACCTAAACTGTCCTAATCGGTAAATCTAAAAAAGTTTTTCCCTGGGAAAAAGATTTTGCGGAGAAATAACATAAAAAAGGTTCCCTCTCACTTTCATTGGCCTAGAAAAGTTTGCCACTTTCTACTCTTTTTTTTTCCACGACTTCCTTTTCAATTAGAAAATTGATGTTCTTGGCACTGAAGAAAATGGCCAAAAAAAGAAAAGCTGAAAAGCCCACAAGGCACAAGCTTTCTACTACTACTACTCTATAAGAGAGAGAGGGAGAGAGAAGGAACTGTTTTTACAAAATACAGTAGAGAGAGAAGGCATGCTTGTCGGCCATTAGAGCTTCAAGCCAAAGCAAAACTTGCTTATCCTTCCCATAATAATCCTTATTGGAATATACACTAATCGATTCTCATCTCTATCTCTCTCTCGCTCTCACCTTTTTTTCTTTTTGCTAGTTTCTCTTTTAATTCTTGGGATTGTGGAGCTGAAAAAGTTTTTGGATTTAAAGTCCCTTTATTTCACCTTTTGGGTTTCTGATTCTGCTTGATTCCCAGATCAAACTATGATCTCTTTTTATTCCAGAACAGTAAATGGGATTTCTCCGGGTTTTATCTCGAATCACTGAATCTATTTGAGGAATCGAAAGAGAAAGTTGAGCGATTTTCTAGTTTGTCCCCAAGCGAATAATAAGTAAGTTAAACTAATAAAACTTCTTTCATTTGCTAATTTTTTTTAAAAAAAATTATTTGTTCATTTCGTGAAGATTCCTTTTTTTTTCAGTTTTGATTTGCCGAGAAATATTTATCAGTTTTGGCTCCTGCTTGGCGGCTTCGTCGATGGCTTCACATTGGTATGTTTCCTCGTGTTCGTTCTTTAAATTACATCAATGTATTGTCAACATAACTGACAATATGGTTTTGCTGTTCAGAATTTGAATACTGAAACATTCAGCACTTTCTTCAGATCCAAACATCTCAGTACTAAATCCTAAATTTATCTCCTCTCTATGTACATAACTAATCATAGATCTTAGGTTAGGGTTGGTCCTTTCTGCTCGAAGCTCTGAGTTTCGCATTTTAGCGTCTCTATTAAATTAAAAAAAAAATAGTTTTTATTTCAAATGAAGAAATCCCTCTGGTCTGAAAGAAATGTGAATCTCTGTAATTGCAGGTGTTGAAGTTTTAAAATTGTTCCTTTTTGCCAAGGATGAAGTTGAGAGGATCAATGAGTTGGGTCTCTGAGTTCAAGACAGAATCAAAATCAATGTTTGGTGGAGTTTTGTTTCTCTTGACACTTCTGGTTTGGACATCAGAAAGTTTGAACAGCGATGGTCAGATCCTCTTGGAGCTGAAGAAAAGAGGATTTCAAGATTCGTTGAACCGTTTGCACAACTGGAACAACATGGACGAGACACCTTGTAATTGGATAGGTGTGAATTGCAGCTCAAATGGCGATACTAGTAATAACCTGATGGTGACATCTCTTGATTTGGCTTCTATGAATCTCTCTGGCGTATTAAGCCCGAGCATTGGCGGTTTAGTTAACTTGGTTTATCTTAACCTCGCGTATAACGGGTTAACTGGAGATATCCCTCTGGAGATTGGAAACTGTTCAAAGCTGGAGGTTATGTTTTTGAACAACAACCAGTTTGGTGGTTCTATTCCGACCGAGTTTGGGAAGCTGTCTCATTTGAGAAGCTTAAACATTTGCAATAACAAGCTTTCGGGTCCTTTGCCTGAAGAGATTGGTGATTTATACGATTTGGAAGAGCTTGTGGCTTATACTAACAACTTGACCGGTCCATTGCCTCGTTCTATAGGAAATCTCAACAAGTTGACGACGTTTCGTGCGGGGCAAAACGAGTTCTCTGGGAGTCTCCCTACTGAAATCGGTAGATGTTTAAACTTGAAGCTGCTTGGTCTTGCGCAGAATCTCATTTCTGGAGAGCTTCCAAAGGAGATTGGGATGCTTGTTAAACTTCAGGAAGTGATTCTATGGCAGAACAAGTTTTCAGGGTCAATTCCTAAAGAGATTGGGAATCTAACAAGGCTTGAGATTCTGGCTTTATACGATAACTCCTTTGCTGGACAGATACCATCAGAGATTGGCAACATGAAGTCTTTGAAGAAGCTTTACCTGTACCAAAACCAGTTGAATGGGACAATCCCAAGGGAGCTAGGGAATCTCTCCAGAGTAATGGAAATCGATTTCTCTGAGAATTTGTTGGCTGGTGAGATTCCAGTTGAGCTGAGCAAGATCAGTGAGTTGAAGCTACTGTATTTGTTTCAGAACAAGCTAACCGGAATCATACCGAATGAACTCAGTATGTTGAAGAATCTGGCGAAACTCGACCTCTCCATCAATTCCTTAACCGGTCCTATTCCATCAGGTTTCCAGAATCTTACTTCAATGCGTCAACTTCAGCTCTTCCACAACTCACTCAGCGGAGTAATCCCTCAGGGCCTCGGCTTGTACAGTCCTTTATGGGTTGTTGATTTCTCAGAGAACCAACTCTCAGGGAAAATACCGCCTTCTATCTGTAACCAATCTAATCTCATCTTGTTGAATCTCGGGTCTAACCGGATATTTGGAAACATCCCACCAGGTGTGTTGAGCTGCAAATCGCTCTTACAGCTTCGTGTAGTTGGAAACCGACTCACGGGTCAGTTCCCGACCGAGTTATGCAAGCTTGTCAATCTTTCAGCTATAGAGCTAGATCAAAACCGGTTTAGTGGACCATTGCCTCCTGAGATAGGCGCTTGTCAGAAACTGCAAAGGCTTCACCTTGCAGCTAACCGGTTTTCCTCAAACCTACCAAAAGAGATCAGTAAACTCTCCAACCTAGTAACTTTCAACATTTCATCAAACTCTCTCACCGGACCAATCCCTTCCGAGATAGCCAACTGTAAGATGCTTCAACGACTTGACCTGAGCCGGAACAGTTTCATTGGCTCTTTACCTAGCGAGCTTGGAAGTCTTCATCAGCTAGAGATACTCCGACTCTCGGACAATAGATTCTCTGGCAACATACCGTTTACCGTTGGAAACCTCACGCATCTAACCGAGTTACAGATGGGAGGAAACTTGTTTTCAGGAAGTATACCGCCTCAGCTCGGTTTACTCTCGAGTCTCCAAATCGCAATGAACTTGAGCTACAACGAATTCAGCGGCGAGATACCATCAGAGCTTGGGAATCTTTATCTGTTAATGTACCTTTCTCTCAACAACAACCATTTAAGCGGCGAGATCCCAACCACGTTCGAGAACTTATCAAGTTTACTCGGCTGCAACTTTTCCTACAACAACCTAACCGGACCACTACCACAAACACAGCTCTTTCAAAACATGACGCTAACAAGCTTTCTCGGAAACAGAGGACTCTGCGGCGGACATTTGAGAAGCTGTGACTCTAACCTGTCTTCTTTGTCCAACCTCTCATCTTTAAAATCAGGTTCTGCTCGTCGTGGGAGAATCATCATCATCGTGTCTTCAGTCATCGGCGGTATATCTCTTTTCCTCATAGCTATCGTCGTTCATTTCCTGAGAAACCCCGTGGAGACAAAACCTCCTTACGTCCTCCACGACAAAGAACCGTTTTTCCAAGAATCCGACATTTACTTTGTCCCTAAAGAAAGATTCACCGTCAAAGACATCTTGGAAGCAACAAAAGGCTTCCACGAAAGCTACATCGTCGGTAAAGGCGCTTGCGGAACGGTTTACAAAGCGGTTATGCCGTCGGGGAAAACCATAGCGGTTAAGAAGCTCGAATCCAACAGAGAAGGAGCCAACAACAACAACAACACAGACAACAGTTTCCGAGCTGAGATTCTTACACTAGGCAAAATCCGTCACAGGAACATAGTCAGGCTATACAGTTTCTGTTACCACCAGGGATCGAACTCGAACCTGTTGCTTTACGAGTACATGTCTCGTGGAAGCTTAGGAGAGCTGCTACACGGAGGTAAATCTCATAGCCTTGATTGGCCGACCCGGTTTGCGATCGCTCTCGGTGCAGCGGAAGGTCTTGCTTACTTGCATCATGATTGTAAACCGAGGATCATACATCGAGACATCAAGTCTAATAACATCCTCCTTGACGAGAATTTCGAAGCTCATGTCGGAGATTTCGGTTTGGCTAAGGTCATCGACATGCCACAGTCGAAATCCGTCTCAGCCGTCGCTGGATCATACGGTTACATCGCTCCCGGTACGGTTCGGAAAAATAAACCGATTAAATCTCGAGCTAAGATTCTTAATCTTACCGGTTTTTTTTTTTTTTTTCGATACAGAGTATGCATACACGATGAAAGTGACGGAGAAATGCGATATCTATAGCTTCGGAGTTGTTCTTCTCGAATTGTTAACCGGGAAGGCTCCGGTTCAGCCGCTGGACCAAGGCGGAGATTTAGCCACGTGGACTAGAAACCATATCAGAGATCATTCGTTGACGTCTGAAATTCTTGATCCTTATTTAACCAAGGTAGAAGACGATGTGATTCTCGCTCACATGATCACGGTGACGAAAGTTGCGGTCCTCTGTACGAAATCTTCGCCGTCGGATCGACCGACGATGAGAGAAGTAGTTTTGATGTTGATTGAGTCCGGTGAACGCGCCGGGAAAGTGATTGTGTCCACCACGTGCGGCGATTTACCTCCGCCGGTGCCACCGTGAAAGAAAGGTCTTTTAACTAACCTTTTTTTTTGGGCGGCAAAATTGGTTTCTGTATAGATTAATATGATTTGTATAGTCGCCATAGAGGAAATAATTCATCTGATGAAAGAAAAGTGCATACATGTAAAATCATTCGTCGTAAGCTGGTTGATTGAAATAAAGTTAGAAATTTTTGTTCGTTAGAAAACAAAAATAAAAAAAAGAGAGAGATTTCAAGATAATTCGTGCGCATTCATTCATGCAATAGGTAATCCCGAAATAAAATTTGAAAATTAACTCGTTAGCATTCCATTAGTCAGACACTCAGACTTAATACCATGGGAAATCCCACCATAAACCACTCTTGATATTATAGTTTCAAACTCTTATGCTATTCAGACATTTAAATTTTGAATTCAAAATTGTGTAGATATCATAATCAATATATTAATATGGAAAATCAATAAGAAATAGAAAAATATCTGAAATTGAGTAGGAAAAATTTGGGGAAATCATAGTAAATAATCAAATGGAAATAATACAATTTTCTTTCCTCTATTTTGATCCAGTAGAATAAATGGATTGTGGGAAGAAAATCTGAATGTATATTGTCAGAAATACATTTTTATATATTTTAATGCATAGTTGTTGTAATGTAATCCATCGATGAAAAATATATAAGATAAAAAAAAAATTACAATAGTCATAATCTTTTTTAAAAAATAATAGTATAGATAGGTGAATAAATTACAATACTTTTTCCTGGCAAACGGAAAATATAAAAATTCTACATTTAGATGAAAAAAAAGGCCGGTCAAGATCCTAATAAGACCAGCTCATTTTTTATTTTACTAAACTGATGCAGCTACCGCAAACACCGTCACATCCCAAATTTGTAATTTTTTTGGATGTTTAGACAACCTATTAAAACTATAGTCCTATAAAGATATCGATAAAACCTAAAAAAACCAAAAAAAAAATGACTACTTAAAAGGTCATCAAATCCGGCAATCATCAGGAACAATCTTGCCACGAACCGAACCACCAACGTTCTCACACAAAGCCGTGGCTAAACCGTCGAGTCCACTGTAAGATAAGTTGATATTCGAGAGCTCAACGTCTTGACAAGGAAACGTTTTACTACATTGCATCTTTAAAGCTTCTTTGCTCGTCGAATTTCCCCAAATCCTACTATACTTCACGTCTTTGATCTGAACATGAGAATTATACTCTCCAGAACTATCACATTGTCCGTGAGGACAATACTGCTGATCAATGACAATAGGGTTTCCAACATTGATCATCTGGATATTATCGTACAAGAAATTCGAAACCGAGATCTGTGAAATCGACTTAGCCCATGTCTTGATCCTTAAACCATCGGTTGTACCGTTGAAAACCGAGTCTCTAACGGTTAAGCCCTCAACGTTCTTCTCGTCTTTGTATCTCCCAAGGCTCCCGACACTAATTCCATGCCCTGGTCCGCACCTAGTGTTAGAGACATTTCAAAACATCAATACATTCAATAAAGAGCATTTTATCATATCATATGGTTAAGGTAAAAAAAAACTCGAGAATATCATCATATATCTTATGGTTAGCGAAATTTGCGTATTTTGAATTTCTAAAGAGGTTTGCTAGTTTTCCGCTAGTCAAATTAGAGTTTAAGCTATAATTGAGGCGGAAAAAATTACCTGACATTAGAGATATCCAAATTGGTATTTCCATCAAGAATTGCGATGCAATCGTCACCGGTTCCGATAGTAACGTTGAAAATATGCATATCCTTAGATCTACCAATCTTGATTCCGTCGGTATTAGGGCTGTCTCCGGGAGCAGTGACAGTGACTCCGGTGATGTTGAAATCCTCGACTGAGTACAAGTTGAAATGACCCATCTTGCTGTTGATCGATCTTAGACCGTTGATCCTCGAAGATCTAACGAACGCAAACCCCATATTCATAGCTAGTGCACGACAATTAGGGTTTTTGTTACAATCATTGAGAGGCCAAGAGTAAGAACCTTGACCGTCAAGTAATCCTCCTCCGGTAACGGTGAGGTAATCAACGTATTTGAAGATGATCCACTCTTCTTGTTTGATGACGTTAGGATCTCGAGGAGCCGATAAAGTTCCTTTGATTATAAAAGTAATAGAACTTTTGCAAGGACCAGAGAACGTTACTTGACTGAGATAGAATGTTCCGAGAGGAATATAGACCGTTGATTTTCCACCACTCCATTGACAAGCTTCGTTCCAAGCTTGCGTAAACGCATAAGCGTTGTCCCATCTGCCGTCGCCGCGAGCACGGTAGTTTCTGACGTCGAAGACCTTCTTTTCGTCGGAATGATATTCGTTCGTCGGAGAACTTGATGAGACGGCGGCGAGGAAGAAGAGGAGAGAAGAGGCGCACAACATCAAAAACCTAGCCGCCATTATCGATCTCACTACTTCTTTTTCTTAAGTTTAACCTTGTGCAAAGTGAAGCGTTTAAGCTTCTTATTTATAGGGTAACAAGATAAGAATATGACGTTCTAGGTGAAATATGGGAAACGCAATCTGTTTACTACCATACATATGGTAATTAACTACCAAAAGATTAAGCAAGAATCTTATCAAGATGGAATAAGATTATTTTTGTGTGAATAGTAGTAAGTAACCAATAAATGTAGGATTTTGCATTTTCTGTTTTTATTTATTTATTTATTTCCACTTGAATGTAAAACTTCCAAGTTGGAATATGAATAATATGATGGTCATAATGACTGTATATTGTGCAATATAACACATTTACATTATATTTATAGTTACACGTAGGATTGTTATTATTAATTATTTTTTTTGTATTAAATCTGTGTATAAAGCTTATACGTGTCGACATATATAACATTTTTTTTAACTTTAACAAGATTATTGTATGTATTATTCAATTTAAATGTCACATTAAGATAAGGGAGTATTTGTTTACCCTAAAAATGGGTGTTGTATCTGTCCAATACTAGTATGTGATGCATTTCTTATGATCGACTTTAAAAAAAAAAAAAAAATCCAATATAATTTGAGTTGGAAAAAATTAGAGATCTACAGAAAGAATATACGGAGTTATTAAAAATGTCAAATTTTGAGCGAACCTTTTTATTTCCTAAAACCATAGATATATATGAGTATATGATTTGCCGTAATAATGATAAAATTCCTTATTACAATGAGTAATTTTTGGTAAATCAATAATATTATTTCCATTAAGAATCTTTCATATTAGTTTTTCACGTTCGAGAAAAAAAAAAGTAAGAATCTCTCCATTTTTGGGTAAAAAAACAAAATAAGAATTTTTGGGTATCTCTAATAGTTGAGGAAATGCTCTTACATATGAATCTCTCCATATGTGTCAATCAAATTTGACATTTTTAGTTCTCACCAATCAAATATTTTAGTTCTACATATCAATCAAATTTTACACATGTGAGAAGAGGTGGAATCGTATATACACCATCACTCATATACACCATCTGCTCTTACCTTAGTGTTCAAAGCCTAACCGATCAAAACATGTCACCATCACTCATATACACCATAATGGTTGTTTTTGATGTTTGTGCTATAATGACATGTATTGTTGTTCTGACTTGAAATTTTCTTTTAAATTAATGCACGGAAAAGCCAAGCTTAGTTGATAAAGAAGAGCATTAAGACGGTGACTTAACAAAGAAGAAGCTGAAAAATGCATCAAAAATACTTCATTGTTAATCAAAATGCTATTCCGAGCGATGATGTGAGAGTATCAATAAAAAGTTATTCATTTGTTATGGGTAAGTTTGTCTCTTCTTTATACATGGAACTTCAACATTGAGATGTGCTTACTGATAATAAACGAGAAATGAAGAACAAAGACCAGCTTTTGTGATGATGATACTCATTTGGTCTATGATATCAAATACCTTTATTCTTTTTTCATAAATGGGTAGATCAACATGATTTTAGAGAAAGGGCATAATCACTAGAAGATTGGAGTTATTTATTAACACATTTGATTTTACACATGTCTTACTCTTTTCCCATATGTATGCAAACTTTTTTGTCTTCATATGTCAACCGACGAGGAAAAAAGCTGCAAGTGAGTGACTTACCCAAGATCATCTATGGAAAATGTAGATGGAAAAATGCTGGTCGTTTGATCTGGCGAAACGGCCATCGTTCACAGAGATTATTTATCGGCTCCTGTCAATGTCCGTTGCCTTGCAAGTCAAGCGACGAACCTAAGCCGTCAGATGAGATAGAAAGAGGATGAATCGTTTTGTAAAGGTTTAAGATTGAATGGTGCATTTTGTAACAACTTGTAAATTTGTAAGTATTCAAAACACACACGCGGCAGCTTATGGTTGGAGTAAAGTTGTTATACCCATAATAATTCATAAACGTTAAGGCATGTGGTGCAAAAAACAGAACTATAAAAGTTTGCTTCCAAAATTCAAATAGTCATATATTATTCTGTTAGTAATCTATATATGTATGAAGTGTTTTTCTTGTTTTCTAATCGTTAGTTACAATTCGAAGAAAATGTATTGCTATTGACCATAAAAAAAATGTATTGCAAGAGGGTTCTTTTATGCTTAATAATAAATTTGAGGCGTAAACAAAGTCAGCGAAAAAAGTTGGGGGTCATCGTTTAAATTTAAGATGGTTAAGATCCAGAAGATGAAAATGGAAACACGGCACGCACTTCAAAGCCCAAAATGGGCGGGGGCAAACGTCACGCCTAATCTTATCTTCTTGGCTCAATTCTCAGTTTTTATTTTATTTGACATATTAACCAACCAAACCAATTTTTGTTATCAAAAAGGTCATAAATGCATAAATTTCTGATAAATGTGAAAAAAGTTTAAGGTTAGTGATGGATAAAGTTGAAGGTCAAGGCTAATACTGTTTTGATTTGAAAAAATGTACTGTAAGATAAAAGAACTCGTGTCCAAATAAGCAAAGAAAATTACAAAATATCATTTGCTTAATTCGGATTATATTACGGCCAAAAGCGGTGGAGCTATCTTCCTTATAAATGGATCAAACCCGAGGACTGTATACTTTCGTGTAGAATCAAATCCTTTCGAAGAAAACAGATCGAATTTATCTTAATCGGCATAGAAAAAATGGAGAAAGCGATCGAGAGACAACGAGTTCTTCTTGAACATCTCCGACCTTCTTCTTCTTCCTCACACAGCTTTGAGGGCTCTCTATCTGTAAGCTTTTTCTCTACCCCTCTCTCTCTCGATCTATCACGATCTCTACGCTTCGGGGTTCCGGATTGTTCCCGATCTGGATTTCTTGTATGGAATTTGAAATTTTGTTCATACTCAATTATAATTTGATTCGTATGCATGCCTGTGAGCTGAATTTTTGTATGGTTTCAGCTCGATTGAGATCGAGTTTAGCTCTTGATTCTATTTTTGTTTTCTTTGATTGACTGGATTGAGATGGACATCTTCGTTTTGGTTGTTTGATTCTTGTTCGATCGTGCTGAGTCATCAGTGTTCTGCAGAAAGTGTGCAAATGAATTCTGATGATGTGCTTATTTTCACCATTTTCATTGATCTCTTAGAAGTCAAAGCTTAATTCGACTACTATGTATCATCTCTTTAACGCGTTCATTTAAACTCACCAGGCGTCTGCTTGCTTGGCTGGGGACAGTGCTGCATATCAGAGGACTTCTCTTTATGGAGATGATGTAGTGATTGTCGCGTAAGTCCATCTCTTATGTTTTCATGAACTTATGAAGACTTCTTGTCTCTTTCTAAGATTCTTGTGATAAACTCACGCATTTTGATCCATTGCAGGGCACATAGGACTGCACTATGCAAGTCGAAACGTGGCAACTTCAAGGATACATATCCGGATGATCTTCTTGCACCTGTTTTGAGGGTCTGTCGCTGTCTCTTCAATTCTGGTTTTGGTTTTTCTTTTCATCCTACTTCTAGTTATATATGGTATAATCCTCTTGGTGCAGGCATTGATAGAGAAGACAAATCTAAACCCAAGTGAAGTTGGTGACATTGTTGTGGGTACTGTTTTGGCACCGGGATCTCAGAGAGCCAGCGAATGCAGGATGTCTGCTTTCTATGCTGGTTTCCCTGGTATGTTTCTTCTATGTACAGATCCCTGTTTATTCTTTTTTTTTGTTTCTGTTTGCTGTTTGCTCATGCTGTTATGTCCTTTGGCAGAAACCGTGGCCGTAAGAACCGTGAATAGACAATGCTCATCTGGGCTTCAGGCTGTTGCAGACGTAGCTGCTGCCATAAAAGCTGGATTTTATGATATTGGTAAGAGAATAACCGTCTTTGATTTCATTGATGTCTTTGTTTTCGTGAAGAACTTAGCTGACGATAATATCGGATGCAGGTATTGGGGCTGGATTGGAGTCCATGACTACCAATCCAATGGCATGGGAAGGGTCGGTCAATCCAGCGGTACTGTCTCTAATTTCTCTCTCCTGGATTCTTAACTGGCTCTGTTGAGTTTTTCTAGCCCACTATAAAACATATTATGTCACTGCAGGTGAAGAAGTTTGCACAAGCCCAGAATTGTCTTCTTCCTATGGGTGTTACTTCAGAGAATGTAGCACAGCGTTTTGGTGTCTCAAGGCAGGAGCAAGATCAAGCTGCTGTAAGGCAACTGAACTTTTTAGTATGGTTGTACTTTAGATTACACATGACTTTGATCTCCTGATGCTAAACTATCTAGTCATATTGCTAGGTTGACTCTCACAGAAAGGCAGCTGCTGCTACGGCTGCTGGTAAATTCAAGGATGAAATTATTCCTGTTAAAACCAAGGTATTTTCCAGATCCTCCATACAACAATGGTAACATTTAAGACTTCTCCGGGTGCAATAAGTTACTGAATTTAATTCGTGCTCTTATGATAGTCAATAACTTGTGTTTTCTATTTCAGCTTGTTGACCCAAAGACAGGTGATGAGACACCCATTACAGTTTCTGTTGATGATGGGATCCGACCGAGTACAACTCTTGCTACCCTTGGGAAGCTGAAGCCCGTGTTTAAGAAGGATGGAACCACAACTGCTGGTACTTTTCCCGAATTAGTTTTTTGGTTACGGAGAACACAGTTCTTTTTATCACAATTTTGAATCCACTGCTTCGTTTGTTCTGCCTCAAACAGGAAATTCCAGCCAAGTAAGTGATGGTGCAGGAGCTGTTCTCCTCATGAAGAGAAGTGTTGCAATGCAAAAAGGACTTCCCGTTCTTGGTGTATTCAGGTTGGTGAACTGTAGAAGTCTCAAAACTGAAAGCTGTAGAACGCCCATGGTTCTTTGTGTCTTTCCTGACGTTTCTGGCTATTAATAATTAGCACACTATTGGACGAATTGCAGGACATTTGCTGCAGTTGGTGTTGACCCAGCAATCATGGGTATCGGTCCAGCAGTTGCCATTCCTGCTGCAGTTAAGGCGGCTGGCTTAGAGCTGGATGACATCGACTTGTTTGAGATCAACGAGGTACATAGCAAACATTTCCATGATCTTCTTACCTTTTATCTTGTTCCGAACATTCTGATGATAACCCACGGTTTGAATCCTTGTGTGTTCAGGCATTTGCATCTCAGTTTGTGTATTGCCGTAACAAATTGGGACTTGACGCAGAGAAAATCAATGTCAATGGAGGCGCAATGGCCATAGGACATCCTTTGGGCGCTACAGGTATAAGAACTTTGAAATTACTATTCTTATTTCAATTCACTAAACCAAAGAGACTAGTTAATGAGCGACTCTAAACTCTTAACCAAACCCTTGAAAATCCACACCCAAAATCCTTATAAGTGTGCTTTCACTAACTGCGCTCTAACCAACTCACAGCTGCTCTAATCTGCTACATGCAGTCCTAGGGTTGATACAATAGACCTATAGCTAAGAGTTGAACTGCTGAACTTCTTTAAAGCTTATCAATATGTCCTCGCTCGTGTTCCTAGTGAACATTAGCTAATGCTTGTTAAATCACTAATCACTCGCAGGAGCACGTTGTGTTGCTACTTTGTTGCACGAGATGAAACGCCGTGGAAAAGACTGCCGTTTTGGGGTAGTGTCAATGTGCATTGGTATGCTTTCTATCTCGTACTCTTTAGTCTCACTCCTACTAGCTGAAAATTTGGTGTCTGAAAATGTTTTTGGAGGGTTTTGTTGTTGACTGGGGAAATTTTGGCAGGGACGGGAATGGGTGCAGCGGCTGTATTTGAGAGAGGAGATGGAGTTGATGAGCTTCGCAACGCCAGGAAAGTTGAAGCGCATGGCCTTTTGTCCAAGGATGCTCGTTAGAGAAGATGATTGTGTACAACCCAACAAAACCCTTTCACTCTCCCAAATATATGATCTCAGCACACTCTGTTCTCCTTGGAGAGAATCTGGTCCTTTTCTTTATATCCTGTTATTATAGTTTTGAATAAAGCACAACCAATGTTTGCCTGAGTCTTGTTGCTCTTCTTGACCAGGTCATGTGTTTTTTAGTATATTTTTTAAACGTGAAGGGGGATAATCTTTGAAGCTTATTTGTATTAAAATTTAAAATGTTGTTCTTCTCGAATTTCAGTTGTTTCTGGAAAATTTAGAATTGTCAGCTGGCAGCAACTTTTTTAGATTTCAATCGAGATGTCAAACTTTCATATAAATCTAAGACCTGGCTTTGATGGTATTTAATAGTTACAATAAATAAAAATAACATCAATGAAACAACAATTGGGGCGGTGGCGCAGTTGGCTAGCGCGTAGGTCTCATAGCTACTGAGTGATCCTGAGGTCGAGAGTTCGAGCCTCTCTCGCCCCATTCATTTTTATTGTTTAATTCTTTGAGGGAAAAGAATTGTTTAATTCTCAGACCATCCAATCTATATCCAACGCAATCAACATGGCTCTTTTTTTTTTCGGGAAATGCAAAAATTAGAAGTCTAGGATGTGGATCCGCATGCCAAAAAATTAGGTATTCAAATAACTTATAGATATGTTGACGAAAGCATAATAAATAACTAATTTTGTTCGGTTTTATAATAAAGAACTTTATATATGTAAAAATCAAGAAATAGGAGGAGACATGGGTGCATGTAGGTTAGTAGGGGTGACTAAAACATTTTAAACTTCTCATAAACCTTGAAAGAAATTATTATTATTATTATTTTTATCATATTTCAATTACTCGAAAATACTATAAAAACACAAACTTACAATATCAAAACTTATTACACATCCCAGTGGTAAATTTTTGGTAATATAGAAGGAAAAATTATTGTAAATACTTGTATTGGAAAACATTTTTGTTTTGGTAAAAGTATTGGAAAACATGTTTTCTTATGAAAACTTATTACACAACCCAGTGGTAAATTTTTGGTAATATAGAAGGAAATATTATTGTAAATACTTGTATTGGAAAACATTTTTGTTTTGGTAAAAGTATTGGAAAACATGTTTTCTTATGAAAACTTATTACACAACCCAGTGGTAAAATTTTGGTAATATAGAAGGAAAATTTATTGTATATTCTTGTATTGGAAAACATATTTTCTTACATATCGGAACGACCATTACCCTATCCATTATTCAAAGTTCAAACTTAATTATCCAATACAAATGTTGCAGGGATATACGTTGAAAGTTGAAACTATCAATCAATACCAATATCACCAACTTTTATGAAGCACAAGTTGAATAAAAATTTCGAATTTGCTATTTAGTCCTCCATTTCAAGCTCTATAATCTCATAAGTTGACCTTAGTTTTCTGAATTCGCTAGTCTAGTCCTTCAATTCAAGGGTTTGATTTTTGATTTTTTCTTGTTCAATTACGTTAGATTTCTCCTACGCTCTTCTTTTCACCGTCTTCTCTCTCTCTCTCTCTCTCCCACTTAGTCCTCGATTCTCTACGCGTTTCAGCGTTAGTCTTCTAGATCTCTAGCTTCGTGCACGCCGATATAAAGTCTCTGCTCGGTCGGTAAATCCATCGAACAGCGTCGTTTTTGAGGGAAAAAATGGCGCAACAATCGTTGATCTACAGTTTCATCGCTCGAGGCACGGTGATTCTCGTCGAGTTCACCGATTTCAAAGGCAATTTCACATCCATCGCTGCACAGTGCCTTCAAAAGCTCCCTTCGTCAAACAACAAGTTTACCTACAACTGCGACGGTCATACGTTCAATTACCTCGTTGAAAATGGATTCAGTAAGTCACGAATATGTTCGATCTATGCTGTTTTGATTTGGTGTATTGATGATGCGCATAGCTTTTTCGATCTCGATTTATGACTAGTTATCCTTGCGTAAGCTAAGCGCGATTTATCACTCGTTTTGGCGTAGATTTTTCACCTAATTGAGCATTTGAATATCCCCATGAGTTACCTGAAATCAAGTTCTTATGTTTGGTATGTATGTCTTTAATTGATGTTAGATCTAATCCGTGATGTGTTTGGTGAATCTTAAATGCAAGAGCAAGACCTGTTCTGGATCTGTGTTCTTGTTTCTTTACTTGTTGCCTGATTTGCTTGGCTTATTTTTTTTCCCAATTTCATGGTTTTTTGGCTGGTTCTGCTTGTCATCAAGTATTGTTCTAATCGTTGTGAGAGTTGTTTGGGAAGGTTGGGGATATAACGCTTGAGCTCTATTTGACTACGCCTGATTGGTTTCGTGTGGTGTTGATGGATATGTACTCTTATTACAGTGTCAACTTTCTTACAAGCTTGATATTTTCTGTACCTCGGAGTGCGATATCTCTAATATCTTCTTAAATTTTTTAACCGTTTTGTTCTTGTTGTGCAGCCTATTGTGTTGTTGCAGTCGATTCTGCTGGGAGGCAGATTCCTATGGCCTTCTTGGAACGAGTTAAGGAGGATTTCAACAAGAGATATGGTGGTGGAAAGGCTGCAACTGCTCAAGCAAACAGCTTGAACAAAGAATTTGGGTACTTATTTGATTTCTTTGATTGCTATTAAAGAGTTCTCTATTAGTCACGAGCATAGTCATTGACCCTTTTTTGTTTTTTTGGCTGCTCTAAAGGTCGAAACTGAAAGAGCACATGCAGTATTGCATGGATCATCCTGATGAGATTAGCAAGCTTGCTAAGGTGAAAGCTCAAGTGTCTGAAGTTAAAGGTGTCATGATGGAAAACATTGAGAAGGTTCGTTTCTGACCCCTTTTCTTGGCCGATATAATATCCTAACCTATTTCCAATAGAGTTATAGCTAGTATGACTTTGAATACCAGGATCTTTTGGTTCCTAAATCATTACATGTAGAAGGGAATGTCCAATTTGCGGTTGTAAAGACAAATTCTGCTGTTAAACCCTCTAATACATAGTGGTATTCATTCATTTGCAGGTTCTTGACCGTGGTGAGAAAATAGAACTTTTGGTGGACAAAACCGAAAACCTTCGCTCACAGGTTAGCTCTTTTACGAAAAGGGTTCCACGTCCATAGTCCATACACACAGACATTCTTTGAGTTGCAGCTCTCTCTCTCTCTCACTGTTTTTTCTCGGGTTTCGAACTTTGAATTGAATATGGAAACTGTGTACAGGCGCAAGATTTCAGAACACAAGGAACTCAGATGAGAAGAAAGATGTGGTTTCAGAACATGAAGATAAAACTCATTGTTCTTGCAATCATCATTGCCTTGATTCTCATCATCGTCCTCTCAGTTTGCGGGGGATTCAACTGTGGCAAATAAGTCTGGAACATTTCTTCCCGGGTTGGAAGCTTCCAAGATTTCCGTGAACATCTTCACTCTGTTCGTTGTGCTTTTTTTTTTTTTTTGTCTTTTGTGGTTTCTAAATTCTCATGCTATGTTTCTGCTTAGATTTTACTTCTTGAAATTGGTTTTGTATAGGCCATACATATATACATATATCAGTCTAATCTATTTTGGATGTCATATGCCAATTTTTAAAATTTTTGTTCTTTTCATTTTTTTTTCATTTTTTTTTTCAAAACCAAAAAATAAGAAAATTCAAATCATAGTTCTACCATACAGGTTAGCCAAAAAAAAAACAGTTTATTCAAAAGAAAAAAAAACCTAAAATATGGAATTTTTTGCATTTTTCTTTTTATATTGTCGAGTTTTTCAACTGATAAACAAACTCGTTCAATGGCTTTTATGACATAATAGATTGCAGATAATTAATTATCAGTTTTAATTTTAAAAAATCATTTCAACAAAAATTTTAAAATTTTCTTTAATAATTAAAATACATTTAACTAATACTTTTTTTTGTAAAGAGTCTATGCACATTATTAAAAAAACATATAAATACCAATATCTTATTAAAAAAGTACAAACTTTGTTCACATATATCCTTTAATAAAAAGATTTAACTAAAATTTGACTTCTACATTGGATGCCCAAACAAGTCTACAAATTTTGTCATAAAATTTTAACTAAAATATGTATTTCAAAATCATGTTTTGTGTGTGTGTTTTGTATCGTACTATGGGAATCTTCTTTCATGAACTTTGTGAAATCGTTCGTTTGCTGGGTTAGAGATTTAGGGTTCTTGATACATTTTGCTCAAAGATTGGATATAAGTTTCTAAAAAGGAAATAAAAATAAAAATAAAAATAAAAATTGATGATAAAGTTTGTAACTTTTATTGTTTGTTTGGCTAAATTCTCCAATTTGTAACTTAGTGGTTGTTTGTTTGGCTAAATTAAAAAAAAAAAAGTGATGAAACTAGACGCTTAATTCTAGACTCTGGCATTGTTCTTAGAGAGTGGATTTTGTTTATCTCGTGTTTGTATCTTTATTAGCATCTTCATTCAAATAACGAAGAGAATTATAGAAATAGAGAGGCAACCCACAAATAAAGGAGATTTCAGGACTCATAGATTTTCAGATTGAGTTTTTTCTTATAATAGAAAAGGATCTATCAACCATAGAAAATTCTAAAGTCTATACATTGTCGTTTTCTTTTTTTTTCCCTCTTAACCTTTTTACACAATCCCCTGTTTTAAAAAATTTCTATTTTCTCCTAAATCAGGTTTGTCAAAGAAATGGGTACAGTTTCTCGCTGAAGAAACCAAACGACCCAAAACAGAAAACTCCATAATTGTAAATGGCTTCAAGTCCAACCAAAAAGACCTTAAATTCACAATCATCTTCCTTAAGCCGACCACCACAAGCCGTCAAGTTTGGTCGCCGGACGTCCAGTGGCCGCATTGTTAGCCTCTCCCGCGACGATGACATGGACGTCTCCGGCGATTTCTCCGGCCAAAGCGACTACATCAACTACACCGTCCTCATGCCTCCTACACCGGACAACCAACCCGCTGGCTCCTCCGGCTCCACCTCCGAGTCTAAATCCGATGCAAACCGTGGTGGTGGTGGTGGTGGAGGAGGAGACGGGCCTAAGATGGGGAATAAGCTGGAGAGGAGATTATCTGTGATGAAATCAAATAACAAATCAATGTTATTGAGGAGCCAGACGGGAGATTTCGATCATAACAGGTGGTTGTTTGAATCTAAAGGCAAATACGGAATCGGTAATGCGTTTTGGTCAGAAGAAGAAGATACATATGATGGTGGCGTTAGTATGTCGGATTTCTTAGACAAACCATGGAAACCTCTCACCAGGAAAGTTAAGGTCCCAGCCAAAGTTCTTAGTCCCTACAGGTGATATGTTTGTTTTCATATTTTTAACCTCTTTCAAAATTTTCTTGTTTCTTACAATTTATCACCCTCCTCTGTTTCAGGTTACTAATCGCGCTCCGTCTTGTGATACTCTTCTTCTTCCTCTGGTGGCGTGTTACGAATCCTAACGAGGATGCAATGTGGCTATGGGGACTATCGATAGTGTGCGAGATTTGGTTTGCTTTCTCTTGGATTCTTGATATTCTTCCAAAGCTAAACCCTATAAACAGAGCCACGGATCTTGCTGCCTTGCATGACAAGTTTGAGCAGCCTTCTCCATCAAACCCTACTGGTCGCTCTGATCTTCCTGGTGTTGATGTGTTCGTTTCCACGGCTGACCCTGATAAAGAGCCGCCATTAGTCACCGCAAATACTATTCTCTCTATCCTCGCTGTGGATTATCCAATCGAGAAGCTTTCTGCTTACATTTCAGACGATGGTGGTGCAATTCTCACCTTTGAAGCCATGGCTGAAGCTGTTCGCTTTGCTGAGGTTTCATTTTTTCGTTTTATCTCCCTCTTTGTCTTGGCTAGTCTATAATAGATGATGGCATAAATTTGATATGGCTATTTTGCATTTTTGTTTGCAGTATTGGGTACCATTTTGCAGAAAACATGACATAGAGCCGAGGAACCCGGACAGTTACTTTAACCTGAAAAAAGACCCTACAAAAAACAAGAAAAGGCAAGATTTTGTCAAAGATCGTCGTTGGATCAAGCGTGAGTATGATGAATTCAAGGTCAGGATCAATGGTCTTCCAGAACAAATCAAGAAAAGAGCTGAGCAATTCAACTTGAGAGAAGAGCTCAAGGAAAAACGGATTGCTCGAGAGAAAAATGGCGGTGTGTTGCCGCCAGATGGAGTTCAGGTGGCAAAAGCAACTTGGATGGCCGATGGTACACATTGGCCAGGAACTTGGTTTGAACCAAAAGCTGATCATTCAAAAGGTGACCATGCTGGGATCCTACAGGTACCAGCCATCAACTTATTATAAAATTTGAATAAAACCAAGAAACCTATCAAACTTGAATCCAAAATTATAGATCATGAGCAAAGTGCCTGAGCTCGAACCGGTGATGGGTGGACCAAATGAAGGCGGGCTGGATTTCACAGGGATTGATATCAGAGTACCTATGTTTGCATACGTATCACGTGAGAAACGTCCAGGTTTTGACCATAACAAGAAAGCAGGTGCTATGAACGGTATGGTCAGAGCTTCAGCGATTCTATCCAATGGCGCCTTTATTCTCAATCTAGATTGTGATCACTACATATACAACTCCAAAGCTATCAAAGAAGGAATGTGTTTCATGATGGACCGAGGTGGTGATCGAATCTGTTACATTCAGTTTCCACAAAGGTTCGAAGGAATTGACCCATCTGATCGATATGCAAATCACAATACCGTCTTCTTCGACGGTGAGTTGTTGATTTTGAGTTTCAATTTAATGCTTGTGTCACAAGCCACCACAGCTTAAAAAATTTTTTTTTGGGGTTTTGAAACAGGTAACATGAGAGCATTAGATGGGTTACAAGGTCCGGTCTATGTCGGAACAGGGTGTATGTTCCGAAGGTATGCTCTTTATGGATTCAACCCACCTCGAGCCAACGAGTACTCAGGCGTTTTTGGTCAGGAAAAGGCTCCGGCTATGCATGTACGGACTCAGTCCCAAGTGTCCCAAACATCACAAGCATCAGATTTAGAGTCCGATACACAGCCTCTTACCGATGATCCAGATCTTGGTCTACCCAAAAAGTTTGGTAACTCGACCATGTTCACAGACACTATTCCAGTTGCAGAGTACCAAGGACGACCTTTAGCAGATCACATGTCAGTTAAAAACGGAAGACCACCTGGTGCTTTGCTCTTGCCACGACCTCCTCTTGATGCTCCAACCGTAGCTGAAGCCATCGCTGTCATTTCTTGCTGGTAAAGGTTTCGAAACAGAGGATATGCTCTGACTCTGTAGTATAAAACGGTTATGTAGTTAAAAACATTTTTGGCTTTTTCAGGTATGAAGACAATACAGAATGGGGAGATAGAATAGGATGGATTTACGGGTCGGTCACTGAAGACGTGGTTACAGGATACCGTATGCATAACCGTGGTTGGAGGTCTATTTACTGCATCACAAAACGTGATGCTTTTCGAGGCACAGCTCCGATCAATCTCACTGATCGTCTCCACCAAGTCCTTCGTTGGGCTACTGGCTCTGTAGAGATCTTCTTCTCCAAGAACAACGCTATGTTCGCTACAAGAAGGCTCAAGTTTCTTCAGCGAGTCGCTTACCTAAACGTTGGAATCTACCCTTTCACTTCCATCTTCTTGGTCGTTTATTGCTTCCTCCCGGCTCTCTGTCTCTTCTCTGGGAAGTTCATCGTCCAGAGCCTCGACGTACATTTCCTCTCTTACCTCCTCTGCATCACCATAACCCTAACCCTAATCTCCCTCCTCGAGGTCAAATGGTCAGGGATCGGACTCGAAGAATGGTGGAGAAACGAACAGTTTTGGCTCATCGGAGGCACGAGCGCTCATCTCGCAGCAGTTGTCCAAGGATTGCTCAAAGTCATCGCCGGAATCGAGATCTCATTCACCTTGACGTCGAAATCAGCAGGAGAAGACGAAGATGACATCTTTGCGGATCTTTACATCGTGAAATGGACGGGGCTGTTCATCATGCCGCTTACAATCATTGTAGTGAACCTTGTAGCGATTGTGATCGGAGCTTCGAGGACTATATACAGTGTGATTCCTCAGTGGGGCAAGTTGCTTGGAGGGACATTCTTTAGCTTGTGGGTTTTGACGCATATGTATCCGTTTGCTAAAGGATTGATGGGTCGAAGAGGAAAAGTTCCAACGATTGTTTATGTTTGGTCGGGGCTTGTGTCGATTACTGTGTCGCTTCTCTGGATCACCATCAGTCCTCCTGATGAATTTACAGGTGGCGGAGGAATCTCTGTGTAAATTGGATCAGATTGTAATACTGAGGTTTTGGAATCTATTTATTTTTTTTTGTAAAAGTAAATTTGGTTTTATGTAAATTTTTATGTTGAAAAGGACCAATTCTGCTTTTAGTTTGTGTTACTAGAGAACTGAAACAAACATCCGTGGCTCTGTTTTCTCTCTGTTATATATCCTCTGTTTTGTAAAGAAACAGAGGAACAGATTATGAGAGAGAAACAGAACTGGAAGAGGTCTTTTTTAAAAAATGTTTGTGTTGGGTGGTTGGCTTGTTTCGTTGAAATTCTATTGACGAAACTACCCTTATGATATCAGTTGAAATAGTCGATCACAGATTTACCCCTCGTGGAACTTGACAGGAAAAATGGAAAATAGAATCTGTCGACATTTGTTAGTTTGTTAAATAAAATGGAAACTTCCTTTTCTTTCCTTTTTTGTTTTTGTTCTTTTGCGTCTCTACTCTCTACGCTCTATATATTTAATATCTGGGACTCTTCTCTCTTGCTTTTCCATATTTTGCTTTCCAAAAACGAGAGTGAAACCCTAGCTGTTTGCCTTCAACAAACACCTGACGAAGATGATGAAAAAAGTTAAGATATCTGTTACGACTCATGATATCGCAGCAGACTAAGAAAAAGACTAAGATTTTGGGGCTGAATAAGAGAGAAGACCAGAGATCTAAGGCTCCTGAATTATGCGGGGTTAGATCAAGTTTGAACAAGACTGATTCTGCAGCGAAGAAGCAATCTGCTCTTCCTGACAAGAAAGGCATCATGAGTAGAGAAGAAGGGATGGTTCCAGAGAAGTGATTGTAAGAAAGGTCTAAAAAGGAGAGCTTGGTGAGATTCTGGACAAGTGGGAAACTACCAGTGAGCTCGTTATCTGAGAGATCCAACTTGGTTAACCATGTTAGGTTACTAAATGAGGAAGGAACTTGACCTTGGAAGCTATTAGAGGAAAGAGACAAAACCTCTAATTTGTTGAAGTTGCCAAACTCGGAAGGAATTGAGGAAAAACCTAAGTTGTTGTCAGAGAGATCGAGGAGACGAAGATGATGCAACTCGAAGAGGCTACTGTTGGGTTTGAGAGTTCCAGTGAAGCAGCCACTTGGGAGCTGTAGCTCTGTGACCGCACCAGTCGCGTTATCACACTGGACACCGTGAAAGTACTCGCTGCGGTTGCAACCGCCGGATTCAAACTCGTTCTTGAAATGCAGGAGAGCTTGGATCTGGTGGGGACGACAAGCAGCAAGTCCAGCAACACGAGCATTTATCATCAAGAAGCTTGAAGCAAAGACACAACAAAGTAAGAGTACCAAGAGAAAATGAAAACGGAGACATGACATGGTTGTCATCATGAAACCTTTTTTTAGAAAAAATAATTAGTTTGTATGAAAAAGAGTAAGAGAAGATGAGTCTATATATATCCTTGTTCAGCGAAGACCAAGAGCCAGTCAGATAAAGAAGTGAAATCCACGTTGATGTTGATATCTCTAATAAGTCTCTAACGTGTAATTTCTGTTAGATTCACATCAGTTTTGAACAATCTCACATAATCTAAGAGCCAACCAGATCATAGAAGTGAAATTTTCTAACGTATAACTTAACACACGTTCACGCTCAGTAGCGTAACCGTGGGAGAAATGGCACCAATCGGAAGCAAACGATATGAAATTTTAGGTTATAGTATTTTATTGAACTGATTGTTTCATTATTTGTTGGAGTTTATGTTTTTTTTTTTTAAAGAAAAGTACACTGTAGATTTGGATATAGTATTGTATATTTGAGAGTTTAATTATGTTTCTTATAAGCCTCGAAATGTTTTGAAATCTCTAACATATTTGTTATTTTGCGTATTCGTTGTCCCTTAGTCATATTGTTTGCTCAGCTTTACCCTTAAATGCTTTTGAGATTTATTGAGTTTTGATAACTCATCGGTAACGTTGACAAGTAAGGTTGCATAGAAAAAAAAAATTGTTGTTGTTAAAAAGAAATATAAATATGAAGGACACCAACTCAATCTCAATTTTGTTTATAAACAGTCATGAAAAGAAATCAATTGAATTGGATTTAGGTTTTAGGGGTTTTTAAACATATATAATTCCGCAAGTTTTTTGTCAATCAACAAAAAAAATTACGAAATAAAAAAATACATACAAAAAATTAAACTGTTTTCGCTTAAAAAAATTACAAAATAAAAAAAAACAATTTTATAAATAAATTAATCTATTCTGCAATATTTTTTTCTGCCATTTTGCCATTCCGCAAAATTACCAATCAAAACCAAAGGCCTGCCTGAGTTTGAGTATTCTGTTAGGTCTGCCTGAGTTTGAGTATTCTGTTAATGTCGATCTGAGTCTTTAAACACTGATATAAGGAAAAGCTGGTGAAGAAGATGTCTTTTATTCATATAATGCTTGATTACAAAAACATGAACTACTTATACAACATTAAAGATCAAATCCATTAGAATAATAAAGAAAATATTTTGGTGAGCCACTGTGGCTTGTATAAAGCGATAACATTTAAAGATCTTGTTTATTCTTGACAGAGTCTTGAGTATTCACCACTTTAATCTTTTCCACTACTAAAGAAATTCTCTGTAACGATTGTTTGAGTTGTGAATAAAAAAGGATTTCCACAATCTTTCAACCTGAAAATACATCTCTCTTGGTATGTTTGTTTAAACCCTATTAACCATTTTATGAGAATCCATGAGACTGGAGTTTTATTTGTAAATATCAATTCCAGTTATAATTGAGAGACAACACTTGAGAAACTTTTTAGGGTGTATACTTTTTTTCACTGTTAACTAAGAATATTAGGTTAAACTGTGAACCGGATTGTTACAGTTAGTAAGTCTTCTTATGAGTTAGTTTGTTCACATTCCAGTTAGTAGCATTTACACTTGAAAAAAAAAAAGAGATCTCGTGAATTTCTAGTCTGATACTGAATTCTGAGACCTGTATAATCCTATAGCTCTGACTCTCTTATGTTCACATGATTCAGTTCTTTTTAAACAGGAAGCTGAAAGACGATGCCGTGTGTCAAGAAACTTCAGCTCGGGTTAACTTAAGAGTCAGATAAGAGCCAAAGCAGTATACAAGAAGCCTTTTTTCAGGACATCATCAGCCAAAAGAGAGGTTCCTTACAATAGAACAAAGGTTACAGAAACTAGTAAGATCTCTTTCTTACATCAGTAAGAAAATATAATTAACCATACTATATTTACATCTCATTTTCTACACTATTTTTATTAGTAAAACTCTCCCATCTCAAATCCATAGACATAAACAATCTAACTGGATCTACTGCTTTCTTTTGCTTATCCGGACCAACTATCTTGACATACCACTTCGGCCTGTATGAAGCAAGATAAAGTGTGCTATTACCAATCCAAACAATAAGCCTGGTCCGTACCCTATAACCACAGCTTTCCAGTTTAACACTTGTTCCTCTTCTTCTTCGTCTTCTTCCTGAGGCTGTTGCGTTGGTGGCGCAAAGCAACTTCCTTGGAGAGGAAGTCCACAAAGCCCTGCATTCCCTTCAAAGGAGGATTTAGGTTGCCCAGTGATCTGTGTTCCTTGGGGTATTTCGCCTTTGAGTTGGTTATGAGCCACACTTATGTACGCCAAAAAAGAGAGGCTTCCTAGTCCTTTAGGAATAGTCCCTGAGAGTTGGTTGTTTGACAAATCAAGTGACTCGAGCTCAGTAACATTTTCCAAAGACAAAGGAATATGGCCTGTGAATGCGTTATTTGATAAGTTGAGTGCAATCAATGCCTTCAAAAGACCAATGGATTCAGGAATCTGTCCTTCAAGTCTGTTCCCTGAAAAATCAATGGTGGCGTAGGAAGTAAGGACCTTTCCTTGCTCCATGAATAGACCTTTGTATTGCAAATCTATGGTATCTTCATAGAGATAGTAAGCGTTGCTGTAGTCTCCCATATAGATTCTCCCATCTTCAATCATCTGGAGTGATGATGCTTTCCATTTCACGAAGTAATTTGGTGGTAAACTTCCTGTGAAATTGTTATCTGATATTTCAAGTATGCGCAGCTTGGGAAACGCAAGATGATCTTGATCAGGAGGAGATATAGGGCCATAAAACTTGTTTGAACGGAGGGTAAGGCCTTGTAAATCAGGCAAAGCCTTGAGCCAGAAAGGAAACTTGTCTTTCATTCTGTTGTGATCCAGACTTATAAACCTTAGCGAGGAGCAATTCAGAAGAGATCTTGGAAGCTTCCCGGTTAATTGATTATAGCCAACGTCAAGTGTCCGCAGGAATGCACTATCGTAGAACATATCCGGAAGACTTCCTTCCAAGTTGTTCTTCCGGAGATTAACCACAGTGACAGAGTTACTCAAACATGGAGGAATTGGACCGGTTAAGTTGTTGTAGGATAGATCAAGAACAACGAGAGAGCTCCGGTTGAAAACTGAAAGAGGTATGTTTCCTGTCAAACTATTGTTCCATACAGAAATGAGGTTGATAGAGAGTGGTGGATTAGGAATTGGTCCATGAAAATGGTTATAAGCCAAATCTAATATCCTCACCGATGAATTTTCTAAGACTTTTGCAGAACCTTCAAAACCTGTGAAAGAGTTATTAACAAAAGTCACTCTGAACAATCGAGGAAGGTTCCAGAACCACTCAGGAACTTTCCCTTTGATTTTATTGTTGGAAATGTCTATAAACTCTAGGCTATGAAGGGTCACTAAGAAGATTGGAAACTCTCTCATGTCGCACCCCGACAAAGCCAATCTCTCTAGGTTCATTGGGATGTCTGAATCTGAACTTAAACTAACTGGTGATATAATCTAAGGAGCTTCAGGTAAATTCCTTTTCCAAGCAAGAGTTATCCAATTCTCCAGTATATTTGTTATATATCTGATTTTGGTTCGCTGGTTTTCTTTGTTTGATTCAAACGCCGATTTGGTTAAGCTTGATTACAAGATGATAGTGTCAACAACTCAAAGATGCACGTAGAACTCATGGATACTAGTGTCAAAAGATAAACTAGTATAGGCTTGTGATTAGACCACAACGACGGTAAATTTGTGGCAGTATCCGCCATTGAAGCGAAGAAATTCGTGTTGACTCGGCCATTGAAGTAAAGCTCATCAAAGTCCACAGAGTTTTCCTTTCTCATAATCTAGGAAGAAGTCGAAATGCCACAAACACAAGCAAGCTTCGTAATCATTTTTTTTCGGATGATACCCATGTATTTATAATAAATTTTAAATTTCCTCTGGAAGTATATAAAAAGTCAGCATAACCCCTCATGATAAAGTAAATACTATCTGTAAAATCGTTTTACGTTTGAACAATGATCTGACTTATTTACCCTCGGGCGAAGAAAAGGAAATACTGTCTCGACAACGAACCTCACGTCGTCGTTTCAAGTCTATCTCGGACTACTTTGTTCGATGAGCCTTGGGATAAAAGGAAACTTCCTATAATTTCCTTTTTCTAGGGGCTATACTCTCTATCCACTATATAATATCTGTGATAAACTTTCTCTCTCACTCGCTTTTCATATTCTGATTCTCCAAAACTTCCGAGTAAAACCCTAAGCTAGTTGCCTCTTTCCAAATTCTTTCTCTACGAAAATCAACGAAACATCAAGATGATGAAGAATGTTGCGATTGCAGCTGAGAGATCTAGCTCTGATCTTGACCGTTCTGTGTGTGCTGCACTTAAGGCAGCTAATGCAAACAGCATCGATGGCGTTGAGAGATGCTTCGATATTCTCCGTTACCTGAAGAGCTTGAATCTCTCTGTCAAAGATCTTTGCAACTCCAAAGAGATAATTCTTTTGGAGAGTCTGAGAAAGCATGAAAACCCTAAGCTTCGAATGGGTGTTGACGTCTTGTTCAAGTCCTGGTTTAAAACTCTTTATTGGAGTGGAAGAGATCCTCCTCCTTCTACTTGCAGCAAAGATGTTCCCTTGAGTCTGAAGAAACCAAAGACTGTGTTTTTGAGGTTGAAGAAGAATAAAGATGAGAGATCGATATCTCAGGCTCTTGAAACCGGAGAAAGTACTTTTCAGACACAGAAAGAAACTTCTTGTCCATCCTTGAAGACCGTAAGGGACAATACTTGCATATCGATTCAAAGCAAGGTTCGTGTAACGCAAAAGAAACTTGGCTCTGTTCACTCAAAATTGCAGAAGACAGAAGATCAGAGATATCATGAGACCAAAGAGGCTAAACAAAATTTGAAAAAGGCAGATGATGTTCGCAAGGTGAAGAAGCAATCGGCTCTACCGGTGAAACTTTCTAAAAACCCTAAATCTGGGGCTCATGAAGCAGAAGAGATTAAGAAAAATTTGAAGAAGCCTGACGCTTGCAAGTCTGTTTCAACAACATCAAGGCCTCTCCCGATGAAGAAGCAGCCGCCTCTGAAAGTTTCTGGAAACCCTAAATATTGTCCAGCCGTGAAGAGGAACGAAACAGAGATGTTGGAGCTATTTGAAATAGCTAAGAAATCAGCAGATGTGGCCAACGCAAAGGGACTTCTCGCGGCTAAAGCAGAGACATCAATCTGTGTAGATACTCTCTCTTTGCTCATCGGTTTCCCCATCAGCTCAACAGCACCTGAAACAAGGCGGATCATGGAGAGGCTTGCATGTCTCACAAAGCACAAAGACCGCAAAATCTGCAATTCTGCATCAGCACTTCTTCAGCATTGGAGGCAGAGCATCAGAGATCAACAACTCAAAGATGCACGTAGAACTCATGGATACTAATGTCACCAGAAAATCTGCAAAACACTAACTAGTATAGGCTCATTGTGACTTGAAAACAACTGTCGGTTGTTTATTCTATTTGGTAAATTAGAGATTGTGTAGTCACCACGTTATATTTCGACTAGTCAATCACTTGATCCATTATGTAAACACACCTAGTATAATCTTATATTTTGTGAATTCTTGAGACCTGTATAATCTTGTAGTCTATGACTCTCTTATGTTCACTTGTTCCAGATTTTTTTAACAGGAAGCTAAAAATTAACGCCGTGTGTTAAGAAACTTAAGCTCGAGTTAATTTAAGAATCATAGAAGAGCCAAAGCAGTATACAATACTGCCTTTTCAGGGCATCATCAGCAAAAGAAAGGTTCCATTTACGAGAACAAAGGTTACAAAAACTAGTACGACCACTTTCTTTACATCAGTTTCAAAATATCAACATACTATATCTACATCTCACTTTCTACACTATTCTTATTATTAAAACTGTCCTATCTCGAATCCATAGACATAAACAATCTAACTGGATCATCTGCTTTCTTTTGCTTATCCGGACCAACTATCTTAACAAACCACTTCGGCCTGTATGAAGCAAGAACGTGTGCAATTACCAATCCAAACAATAAGTCTGGTCCATACCCTATAACCACTGCTTTCCAGTTTAACACTTGTTCCTCTTCTTCTTCGTCTTCTTCCTCAGGCTGTTGTGTTGGTGGCGCAAAGCAACTTCCTTGTAGAGGAAGACCACACAGACCTACATTCCCTTCAAAAGAGGATTTAGGTTGCCCAGTGATCTGTGTTCCTTGGGGTATTTCACCTTTGAGTTGGTTATGAGCCAACTTATGTACGCCAAAAACAAGAGTCTCTCCAGTCCTTTAGGAATAGTCCCTGAGAGTTGGTTGTTTGACAGGTCTAGGGACTCGAGCTCCGTAAGATTTGCTAAAGACAGAGGAATTGGGCCTGTGAAGGCGTTGTTTGATTAGTTGAGGGCAATCAGTTTCTTCAAGAGACCAATGGATTCAGGAAGCTGTCCCTCAAGTCTGTTCCCTGAAAAATCAATGGTTGCGTAGGAAGTAAGGACCTTTTCTTGCTCCATGAATAGACCTTTGTAATGCTAGCCGGGAATGTCGTTGTAGTCTCCCATATATATACTCCCATCTTCATTCATCTGGAGTGATGTTGCTTTCCAGTTCACAAAGTAATTTCGGGGCAAGCTTCCTGTAAATTTGTTATCAGATATTTCAAGTATGCGCAGCTCTGGACACGCAAGAGGACCTTGATCTGAAGGAGATATGGGACCATAGAATTTGTTTGAACGAAGGGTAAGAGCTTGCAAATTAGGCAAAGCCTTGAGCCAGAAAGGAAATGTGTCTTCGATTCTGTTGTTGTCAACACTTCGAAACTTTAGAGAGGAGCAATTCAGAAGAGACCTCGGGAGCTTCCCGGTTATACGGTTGTAACCAACATCAAGTGTGCGAAGCAAGGCACCATCATGGCACATGTCTGGAAGACTTCCCTCCAAGTTGTTCTTACGGAGATTCACAACAATGAGAGAGCTTTGAAAATTACTCAGGCATCGAGGAATCGAACCAGTGAAGTTGTTGTAGGAGAGATCAAGAAGGCTAAGAAAGCTTTGGTTGCAGATTTCAAGAGGTATACTCCCTGTGAAACTATTGTTACATGCAGATAAGACGATGAGAGAGCGTGGTGGATTAGGAAATGGTCCTTTAAAATGATTATAAGCCAAATCTAGTATCCTCACTGATGAATTTTCTAAGACTTCTGCCGAACCTTCAAAACCTGTGAAAGAGTTATTAACAAGAGACACTATGCTCAAACGAGGAAGGTTCCACAACCACTCAGGAACTTTTCCTATGATATTATTGTTGGAAATGTCTATAAACTTCAGGCTATGAAGGCTCTTTAAGAAGTTTGGAAACTCTCTGATGTTGCACCCCGACAAAGCCAATCTCTCTATGTTCATTGGGACGTCTGAATCTGAACTTAAACTAGCTGGTGATATACTATTACCGGAAAGATGTAGGATCAACAAAGATTTGAGAGAGGAGAAGAGGCTAATTAAGTCGATTGGGTAGCTTATGTTTTGGAAAGAAAGGTCGAGTTCTTTGAGGGTGACGAGATTTGAGAGAGTCTCTAGAATCTGCCCTTGAAATTGGTTGTGCCCAAGGAGCAGATGCTCGAGCCTAGATGAAGAGGAGTTTGAAACTTCAATAGGACCGGTGAGATGGTTTCCACGAAGATCAAGACTTGACAAGAAAGGCATCATGAGTAGTGTAGAAGGGATGGATCCAGAGAAGTGATTATAGGAAACGTCTAAAATGGAAAGCTTGGTGAGATTCTGGACAAGTTGGAAACCACCAGTGAGCTCGTTATGTGAGAGATCTAACTTGGCTAAGCATGTTAGGCTACTAAATGAGGAAGGAACTTGACCAATGAAGCCATTAGAGGAAAGAGACAAAACCTGTAATCTGTTGAGATTGCTGAGTCCAGAAGGGAGTGAAGAGGAAGTGAAGTTGTTGTGAGAGAGATTAAGGTAATGACGATGGTGAAGCTCAAAGAGGCTACTGTTTGCTTTGAGAATTCCAGTGAGGCAGCCACTTGGGAGCTGTAGCTTCGTGACGACACCAGTCGTGTTATCGCACGGTCGCACCGGACACCATTAAAAGTAGTCAGTTTGGTTGCAAGCGCGGGATTCAAACTCGTTCTTGAACTGCAGAAGAGCTTGGATCTGGTCGTGACGACAACCGGCAAGTGCAACAACCAAAGTGAAGCTTGAAGTAAAGATTAGAAAGAGTAAGAGTACCGAGAGAAACCGCAAAAGCAGATGTAATCCCGACATTGTGGTCGTCATGAAAACTTTTACGAAGAATAATATTTCTTTTAAGCGAGAAAATGGAAAAGACTGGTATATATATAAAGATACGTGGCCATGCATTGAAGAATATTTCCCTACGCAACTTGGCTTGACTTGGAACAACCTCTAAGTGAAAATCTTTGTCTCCATCAGAGAGCCAACAATCATTGATATTTGGTAACTTCAAAGTCAAGAATACATATCAATTCAAATAAATAATTGAGGAGGCATAACTAATTAAATAGTTTGTTGAAACTTTATTTTCTCTTTGAATTTTCTTGAGATATTAAATTGAAGAACTTATGGCCTTACAATGAAATGACATTAATTTTGGTGGTTGGATTGGAGAGACTTTGTCAAGTTTTACAAGTGTAGGTAACTTTTAATGCCATATAAACTGTATCAGGTAGTATTGATTTGTTTGTGGATTGGCCAGCCTAGTATATGATTAATAGACGACTCAAAAGGCTGAACCAGTAGGAAAAAAAAAAATGCGAAACAAAAAATAATCACCCAGCAGCATTATGTAAACCAATTTAGACCAAAAATTACATTTCGGTTTATACGAAACCGGTTATATACAATTTAATGAACCAGATTTGCGAGATTTGGTTTAAGACATAAGTCGCTTAAGGAAGATTTAATCACGCGACAACGGCGAAGCGATTACAGTCACCGTCACTCTCGCCGACGTTTTGGTTGAGTGGCGGCTTCCGAAATAATCTAAGGAGCTTCAGGTGATTTCCTTTTCCAAGCAAGAGTTATCGAATTCATCAGTAAATTTGCTATATATCTGATTTTGGTTTGCTGGTTTGCTGGTTTTCTTTTGTTTGATTCAAACGCCGATTTGGTCAAGCTTTGATTACAAGATAATAATTCGTCTTTCTTAGTTTGTTGATATTATTTCTTGTCATTGAATGTGTAGATTTACAAATAACTGGCATTTACATTAATTTGTTTCTGGATTGGAGAAGACTTGGTCAACTTTTGAAGATGTTAGTTCGTTACAGTGAAGAACTGGCATTGATTTAATTTGTGGATTGGAGAAGAAATTGTCAGATTATATCTTTCATCTGAATCTATATCTAAGGAATGTGTGAATGTATAAGAATTTTCAGAATCTTTCATCTGAAATATATATCTCTCTCTTAGTATTTTCCCTTTAGCTAATTTATGAAAATCCATGAGACCGGAGTTTGATATGTAAGGATTAGTTTCAGTCATAATCGAGAGACAATACTCCTTGAGAGAGAGTTTTCATGTCCATACTTTATTCTATTGTTATCTGAGAATATTATTAGTTCAAATTGTGAAGCATGTTGCTATATTTGGTAAGTCCTCATATGATATGATTTTGTTTATTCACATTAAACTGATTTTTATCAGTGGTGTGTAGTAGGTTTTATACTTAGAAAAAGGGATCTCGTGAATGTCTAGTCTGAGACTGAATTCTAGAGACCTGTGTAAGCTTATAGCACTGATTCTCTTATTTTCACTTGATCCAACTCTGTCTTAACAGGAAGCTGAATCAGACAAGAGCCAAAAGAAAGGTTTTTATTGCTGGACATCATCAGCCAAAAGAGAGGTCCCATTTAAGAGAACAAAGGTTACAGAAACTAGTAACTAGTAAGACCTCTTTTCTTACATCAGTTTAAAAATATCAACATACTATATTTACATCTCACTTTCTACACTGTTCTTACTATTAAAACTCTCCCATCTCGAATCCATAGACATAAACAAACTAACTGAATTATCTGCTTTCTTTTGCTTATCCGGACCAACTAACTTAACAAACCACTTCGGCCTGTATGAAGCAATAACGTGTGCTATTACGAACCCAAATAATAATCCTGGCAAATACCCTATAACCACTGCTTTCCAGTTTAACACTTGTTCCTCTTCCTCTTCGTCTTCTTCCTCAGGCTGTTGCGTTGGTGGCGCAAAGCAACTTCCTTGTAGAGGAAGACCACACAGACCTACATTCCCTTCAAATGATGATTTAGGTTGCCCAGTAATCTGTGGTCCTTGTGGTATTTTACCTTTGAGTTGGTTATGAGCCACGCTTATGTACGCCAAAAACGAGAGGCTCCCGAGTTCTCTTGGAATATTCCCTGATAGTTGGTTTCTTGACAGATCTAGTGACTCCAGCTCCGTGACATTTGCTAAAGACAGAGGAATTTGGCCTGAGAAGGCGTTGTTTGATAAGTTGAGTGCAATCAATCCCTTCAAGAGACCAATGGACTCAGGAATTTCACCTTCAAGTTTGTTTCCAGAGAAGTCAATGGTAGTGTAGGAAGTAAGCACTTTCCCCTGCTCCATAAATAGACCTTTGTATTGCAAATCCATAGTATCCTCATAGATATAATAAGCATTCTTGTAGTCTCCCATATATATACGCCCATCTTCATTTATCTTGACTGATGATGCTTGCCAGTTAACAAAGTAACTTGGTGGCAAGCTTCCGGTAAAGCTGTTATCCGATAATTCAAGTATTCGCAGCTCGGGAAAGGCCAGAGGGCCTTGATCAGGAGGAGAGAGATGGCCAAAGAATCTGTTTGAACGGAGAGTAAAGACCTGCAAATTGGGTACAGCCTTGAGCCAGAAAGGAAACGTGTCTTCGATTCTGTTGTTGTCAACACTTAGAAACTTGAGAAAGGAGCAATTTAAAAGCGATCTTGGAAGCTTCCCGGTTAGTCGATTGTAGCCAACATCAAGCGTTTGTGTCGAAGCGCCGCTATAGAACTCGTCAGGTATACTTCCTTCCAAACTGTTCTTCCTGAGATTCACTATCTTTAAGTTACTCAAGCATCGAGGAATTGGACCGGTGAAGTTGTTGTAGGATAGATCAAAAACAACGAGAGAGCTTCGGTTACAAATGGAGAGAGGTATGTTCCCTGTGAAACTATTGTTCCACGCAGACAAGTAGATAATATTAGGTGGTGGAAGAGGAAATGCTCCTGTCATAGAGTTATAGGCAAAATCTAGTATCTGCACCGACGAATTAAGCAAAACCTCCGAAGAACCTTCGAAACCGGTAAAAGAATTGTTGACAAGACCCACTATGCTAAGACGAGGTAGCTTCCAGAACCACTCAGGGACTTTCCCTTTAATTCTATTGTTGGATATGACTACATGTTGCAAGTTTTGGAGGGTCTTAAAGATGTTTGGGAACTCAATAATGTCACATTGAGACATAATTAAGCCTTCTAAGCTCAATGGGATGCCTGAATCTGAACTTAAACTGGCTGGTAATAACCTATTTTTAGAAATTTCAAGGATCAACAAAGCTTTGAGAGAGGAGAAGATGCTTAAGTCGATTGGGTAACTTATGTTTAGGGAAGAAAGCTCGAGGTATTCAAGGTTGATGAGCTTTGAGATTGGCTCAAGGATTTGTCCTTCAAATTGGTTATTCCCAAGGGACAAATACACTAGCCTAGAAGAAGAGTTGGGAACCTCAATAGGACCAGTGAGATGATTCTCTTTCAAATTAAGATGAGACAAGAAAGGCATAGTGAGTAGTAAATCAGAAGGTATGGTTCCTGAGAACTGATTATAAGAAAGGTCTAAAAAGGAGAGCTTGGTGAGATTTCTTACTTGTGGGAAACTACCAGTGAGCTCGTTGTGTGAAAGGTTTAAATGGGTAAGCATAACCAGGTTACTAAATGATGAAGGAACTTGACCAACGAAGCTATTAGAGGCAAGAGACAAAACCTCTAATCTGTTGAGATTGCTGAATTCAGAAGGAAGAGAAGAAGACGTAAAGTTGTTGTGAGAGAGATTAAGGTAACGAAGATGATGAAATCCAAAGAGGCTACTGTTTGGTTTGAGAGTTCCAGTGAAGCAGCCACTTGGGAGCTGTAGCTTCGTGACTGCACCAGTGGCGTTATCGCACCGGACTCCGCTGAGAAAGTCGCTGCGGTTGCAACCGTTGGATTCAAATTCGTTCTTGAATTGCATTAGAGCTTGGATCTGGTCGGGACGACAAGGAAGAGCATTGTTTATCAAGAAGTTTGAAGCGAAGACGATACAGTTTAGTAAGAGTATAGAGAGAAAACGCAAACGCAGACGCGGTTGCGACAGCGACATGATGTTTGTTATTGGTAAAAAGTTGATGAAATTATTAAACCAAAAGCTACTAAAATAGATATTTCTATATGTTAGTTGCAAGATAGTTAAACTCTAATGGCTGAGCTAGTGTAGATGCTTACCAATATGTGGAGTCTACATGCCACGTGGAATGTCTACGAGTCATACAGTTCATGAATAATTCCACGTGGGTCTCTCTTTGAGTCTTTGACTCTGTGGGCAAAAAATTGACTGTTCACCTATGACCAACATTTGACATTTTCATTGAAATTCAAGTTACAAGTACGTTCACACTAAGTCAGCAACACAGAGAAATCAACATATAGTTCTTTTGTTCACACATTAAAACACAATTTACAATTTTTATCAACGGGTCTACAAGGTGAAAATTTTATCTTATCTTGGAATTTCCCAGTATCACATTTATGAGCTAGTTACGTTTATACATGACAACTCGCATTAATTTGTTTGTGGATTGGAGAAGACATTGTCAAAACTCAAATTTTCAAAACGTGGTGACGTGACAAACTGAGGAGAGAAGAACGCATATGAGACAAAATTTGGAGTTTGATCTGTAACTCTGTAAGCATTAGTGTCACGTCACATATAGTTTAGAGACAATAGTTGAGAGAGTTTACCTGTGCATATTTTTGTTTTATTGTTATCTGAGAAAATTATGAAGCAGATTGTTATATTTGCCAAGTCCTCTTATGATACAAGTTTGTTTATTCACATCAAAATTGATTTGTATCAGTGCTGGGTGGTACCATTAGGACTCGAAAGAAAGATCTCATGACTACCTGGTCTTAGATTGAATTCTTGAGACCTGTATAATCTTATAGTCTCTGACTCTCTTATGTTCACTTGATCCAGTTTGTCTAAACAGGAATAAGAAAGACAACATCGTGCAAAACTTCAGCCCAAAGTAATTCAAGAATCAGATAAGAACCAAAGCAGTTTATAAGTCTCGCTCTTAACAATCTATCAAGACATTATTCAGGACATTCATCAGCCAAAAGAGAGATCTGCATCAAGGGAACCAAAAGTCACAGTAAAAGTAAAAACCTTTTCTTACTTACATCAGGTAAACAACATATCCATATACTAATTTTACATATCACTTTCTGGTTCTACGTTATTCGTGTTATTAAAACTGTCACATCTTGAATCCATAGACAAAAACAATCTAACTGGATTTACCTCCTTGCTCTTATCTGGACCAACAATCTTGACGAACCACTTTGGCTTGTATGCAGCAATAACGTGCGCTATAACCAATCCAAACAACAGTCCAGGCCCATAGCCTATAACCACTGCTTTCCAGTTTAGCACTCCTTCCTCTTCTTCGTCTTCTTCCTTAAGCTGTTGTGTTGGTGGTGCAAAGCAACTTTCTTGTAGAGGGAGACCACAAAGACCTGCATTCCCTTCAAACGATGATTCAGCTTGCCCACTAAACTGTGGTCCTTGTGGTATTTCTCCTTTGAGCTGGTTATGAGCTACACTTATGTACGCCAAAAACGAGAGACTCCCGAGTTCTCTTGGAATATTCCCTGATAGTTGGTTTCTTGACAGGTCTAGTGACTCGAGCTCCGTAACATTTGCCAAAGACAGAGGAATCTGGCCTGTGAAGGCGTTGTTCGATAAGTTGAGCGCAATCAATGCCTTCAAGAGACCAATGGACTCAGGAATCTGTCCTTGAAGTTTGTTACCAGAGAAATCAATGGTGCTGTAAGAAGTAAGGACCTTTCCTTGCTCCATGAATAGACCTTTGTATTGCAAGTCTATGGTGTCTTCATAGACATAATAAGCATGCTTGTAGTCTCCCATATAAATACGCCCATCTTCATCTATCTTGAATGATGATGCTTGCCAGTTCACAAAGTAACTTGGAGGCAAGCTTCCGGTGAAGCTGTTATTCGACAGTTCAAGTATCCGCAGCTCAGGAAACGCAAGAGGACCTTGATCAGGTGGAGAGAGATGGCCAAAGAATCTGTTTGAACGGAGAGTAAAGACTTGCAGATTGGGTAGAGCCTTGAGCCAGAAAGGAAATGTGTCATCAATTCTGTTGTGATCAACACTTAGAAACTTCAGAAAGGAGCAGTTTAAAAGCGATCTTGGAAGCTTCCCGGTTAGCTGATTGTAGCCAACGTCAAGCGTCTGTGTCAAAGCGCCGCTATAGAACTCGTCAGGGATACTTCCTTCCAAGCTGTTCTTCCTGAGATTCACTATCTTTAAGTTACTCAAACATTTAGGAATTGGACCGGTGAAGTTATTGTAGGATAGATCAAGAACAATGAGAGAGCTTCGGTTGCAAACTGATGGAGGTATGTTCCCTGTGAAACTATTGTTCCAAGCAGACAAGTAGATGATGTTAGGTGGTGGAAGAGGAAATGCTCCTGTCATGGAGTTATAGGCAAAGTCGAGTAACTGCACTGATGAGTTAAGTAGAACTTCTGAAGAACCTTCGAAACCGGTGAAAAAATTGTTAACAAGATTCACTAGGTAAAGACGAGGAAGTTTCCAGAGCCACTCAGGGATTTTCCCTTTGATTCTATTGCTGGAAATGTCTATATGCTGCAAGTTTTGAAGAGTCTTTAAGATGTTTGGGAACTCAGTAATGTTACATCGTGCCATAACCAGGCTTTCTAAGCTCAATGGGATGTCTGAAGAATTTAGACTGGCTGGTAATAACCTATTTTTAGAAAGATAAAGCACCAACAAAGATTTGAGAGGAGAGAAGATGTTTAAGTCAATAGGGTAGCTTGTGTTTAGGGAAGAAACGTCAAGATGGTTTAGGTTGATGAGCTTTGAAATAGGCTTAAGGATTTGCCCTTCGAATTGGTTTTGCCCAAGGGATAAATACACTAGCCTAGATGAAGAAGAAGAAGAGTTGCGAACTTGAATTGTGCCAGTGAGAATATTCTTTTTCAGATCAAGAAAAGACAAGAAGGGCATAGTGAGTAGTAAATCAGAAGGTATGGTTCCTGAGAATTGATTATAAGAAAGGTCTAAAAAAGAGAGCTTGGTGAGATTTCTTAAAGGTGGGAAACTACCAATGAGCTCGTTGTGTGAAAGGTTTAAATGTGTAAGTAAAATAAGGTTACTAAATGAGGAAGGAACTTGACCAACGAAGCTATTAGAGGCAAGAGACAAAACCTCTAATCTGTTGAGATTGCTGAATTCAGAAGGAAGTGAAGATGATGTGAAGTTGTTGTGAGAGAGATTAAGGTAACGAAGATGATGAAATCCAAAGAGGCTACTGTTTGGTTTGAGAGTTCCAGTGAAGCAGCCACTTGGGAGCTGTAGCTTTGTGACCGCACCAGTCTTGTTATCGCACCGGACTCCCTCGAGATAGTAACTGCGGTTGCAACCGTTGGATTCAAACTCATTCTTGAATTGCATTAGAGCTTGGATCTGGTCGGGACGACAAGGAAGAGCATTGATCATCAAGAAGCTTGAAGCGAAGAGTAAGAGTATAGAGAGAAAACGCAAACGCAGACGCGACAGCGACATTGTTTGTGATTGAAATTATTATGAGGAAAAGCCTTTAACTATAAGAACGTCTAAAAGATTTGCTATTTATGGGGTTATTCAAGCCGCCACTGTGTTAATGATAATCTGTCTGTACTCAGATCTAAACTAACTAATATAAAATCGTCAGTATTAATAAATCTGTGGGGTCTAAATGCCAATGTCTACGTATCACGCAGCTTATGTCTAGACATAGAATTGTCTGATCAGCTAACCATTGACTTTTTAAATCAGTTTGATTTATATAAGTACGTTCACACTAAATTATTTAGCAACAAGAGAATCAACATACAGTATGTAGCATAATGAACATGGGTCCATTATTAATTAATAATCACTCGGTAATTAATTTGATAATGACAATTTTGTTTGATATCTCGTCTAGTAGTTGATTTTTGGATTCCGAATACAATAATATAACATGCCAAAAACAGATAAGTGGGCCTCCAATAATTTATAGTTTGGTGAAACTTAATCTTATCTTGGAATTTATGAGTGTTGCGTTTCTTAACAACTCGCATTAAATTGTTTGCGGTCAAAACTCCAAATTTCAAAGGAGAAAAACCAAAAAAAAAAGTGGTGAGATGTGAGACAAAAGTTGGGCCGTATTTTAACATTTTTACCAAAAAAAATAGTTGGGCCTTATATTATAATACATACAGAACGGCTCGACAAAGTATTAGTATTAGCCTCCGTTGAGCCCAAATTAAATTCAGGAGAAATTTTGGTATTCATCATCCAAAAACGACGTCGTGGAGAGTGTATTCTGTCTGACAAACAAAGCCCTTGATATCGCCATAGCAGTCATTTCTCTCGAATCTATCACATCCGAGTCGAGAAGAAGAGTACCGATCTGAGAAAATCGCCGGAGCTAGGTTCTCGTTTATCATCAATCTTTGATCAATGGCAATGGCTGTTTTCCGTCGCGAAGGGAGGCGTCTCCTCCCTTCAATCGCCGCTCGCCCAATCGCTGCCATCCGATCTCCTCTCTCTTCTGACCAGTGAGATCTCTTGCTCCTTCTTTCTTATTCTTTCGTATAAGCTCAACATTTCGAAGTTCTTTCTCGATACTTTTCTGAATCCGAAATCGCTTGGTTTGATTGAGTCTTTTGATGTTTTGCATATTTTGATGTATGATCGTTAGGGTTAGCATTTCTACTCTGGGTAGGTGTCATATCGTTGAATATCAAATTGTCTGGAATTGATCGAATTTGTTACTTTCACTCTGGAGCTGCTAACAATTGAGATTTTTGTGATGTTCTCTAAACTCCAATGTCTGAGTAAAGCTCGTTCTTTTGAATCTCGTTTTCCTATCGCGAGATAAATTCAACCTCGCTCTGTTCATTTTTGACGATTGATTTGCCAAAATCCAATTTAATTTTGTTTCGGGTGTCATTATGTGCTGATTAAATGAAATACTGGATGATGAGGATTAACCTGCTCTTGATTTGTAGGGAGGAGGGACTTCTTGGAGTTCGGTCTATCTCAACTCAAGTGGGTGAGTCTCAGCTGATAATTGGATACTCTTTTTGGCTACTTAGGGTTCTGTAGAGTCTAAAATGTTCTAATCTCCGTGAATTTCTTTACGTGTATTCTCTGTGCAGTGCGTAACCGCATGAAGAGTGTAAAGAACATCCAAAAGATCACAAAGGCCATGAAGATGGTTGCTGCTTCCAAGCTAAGAGCAGTTCAAGGGAGAGCTGAGAACTCCCGTGGACTTTGGCAGCCATTTACTGCACTTCTAGGAGATAATCCCAGTATGGTTGGCAATAATGAGTAGTTTTTTATAGTCATTTCATGCTAGTCTTGCTGATCATCTCATGACCTGCATTCAATTGATGATGACGAACAATCATTTGCTCTTACTACTCTCTTCTTAGATATCCATCCTCTTGCTATCTATGTATTGTTCTTTTGGTGTATTCATGATTTGTAGCGTTTTCACAATGACAAAATCAGGCATTGACGTAAAGAAGAGTGTTGTGGTCACTCTCTCTTCTGACAAGGGTCTTTGTGGTGGAATCAATTCCACTGTTGTTAAAGTGAGCAGGGCTCTGTACAAATTGAATTCTGGTATGTATTGAAAGCACTATCAATGGTGTCATTGTTTTGTTTTACCAAATTACCATACCTAATATTAATTCTTATACCATTGCAGGTCCTGAGAAGGATGTTAAGTTTGTTATTGTTGGAGAGAAAGCTAAGGCTATAATGTTTCGTGACTCAAAGAACGACATCTCCCTTTCTGTAACAGAGCTGAACAAGAATCCACTCAATTATGCTCAGGTAGGTCGTAATTGCTAATAGTCAGGAGCTTTACTTTGCTCTCCTCGATTCAGTCGTTCTCGAGCTACGTATTGTTGTCTATAATGTTTCTTATGTTTACTTGCTGCATCAGGTCTCAGTTCTAGCTGATGACATCCTAAAAAACGTTGAGTTTGATGCTTTGCGCATTGTCTACAACAAATTCCATTCGGTTGTTGCATTTTTACCGACTGTGGCCACTGTTTTGTCACCAGAGGTATGTCACAATTGTCAAATGTCTCCTCAGGACCACGATTTGTGCTTAGTATTTCACATTTTGCTTCAACTATAAGCTTATATATTTTTATTCGTGTTTTTGCATTGAAAGATTATTGAAAAGGAATCTGAAGTTGGAGGAAAACTCGGTGAGCTTGACTCATACGAGATTGAAGGTGGTGAAACAAAGGGAGAAATTCTGCAGAATCTGGCCGAGTTCCAATTCTCTTGTGTAAGTAACCAAGAACATACAAGCTTGATTTGTGGTGTTTAAACATAGAAAGAAACATAAGGATTAATTTTGGTTGTATTCATAAACTCTACTTTTAGGTGATGTTCAATGCGGTGCTAGAGAACGCGTGTAGTGAGATGGGAGCAAGAATGTCTGCCATGGACAGCTCAAGCAGGAATGCAGGAGAAATGCTTGACCGTCTCACCCTCACTTACAACAGGACTCGTCAAGCTTCTATCACAACAGAGCTTATCGAAATTATCTCTGGAGCTTCTGCACTTGAAGCCGCTAAATAAACAAGTCTTTGTTGCTTCCTTATTTGCTTTGATTTGGCTTTGATATCTATCCATCTTGAAGGCGAAGAGTTCGTTTAAACTCCGAAGGGCTACAAAATTAGTTTCCTTTGCTTGGCTTCTCTTGAAGGAGAAGAGTTCGTTTAAACTCCAATCTTTGGTCAAAGATTTTTTGTTATAATAAATATCCCTGTAACTTCCAGCAGGAATACGAATAATTACATTGACTTCCGGTTTGATGATTTTTGATCAGCTAAACCATATCGTCATGATCGCTTTGACCTGTAACTTAACTTTGGAATTTGACATTCCACTTCCACAAACAAAACAAAGGTCCATGCCACTTGTTCCGAGCGCTCGGCTGAAAAGCCATATATCGCTAAAAAACAAGCTAAAATGTCATCACTCTAATAATTAATTTCTTTTCGATTTTTTTAATATGTCATCACTCTAATAATTAATTTCTTTTCGATTTTTTTAATGATGTTAACCGTAGAAATTTTTTCATTCTCCTCATATGTCAAGATATTAAAAAAAACCAGGGTAATATCCACCTGAATTCAACCCACCGATAATCCATTTTATTTTTCATTTATTAATTACCTAAATTTTTTTTCTCTTCTCCAGAAATTTTTTTTAATTCTTTTAATTAATTTTCTTTAATTTTCTTAATATTTCTTTTTTTCTTATTTTCCTTTGTCGTTAAAACATGGACAGATTTTGAAAACCACCAAAATCTCATCTTCATCATCAAACCATTGCTTACTCATCCTCTGCAATCAGTTTCTGTCTTTATCTCCTCTCCCCATCACCATTGTTGAAGATTCAAAACCTAATTAGGTTTTTGTTTGAAAATTTGGAAATTTTACAATTTAGGGATTGAATTTGTCAAAATTGCTTGTTTCATATATAAATCGGGTTTAAATCGGGTTGATAACCCAATTTATGTGATGATTAGGTCTTTGCATAGATAATTTATCAAATATAGTTGTTCAATCGTAGTGATTCTTAGGTAGAAAATCCGAGTTTATCACCAAATCTGTAGAAGAGGACAACTGGTACGAATGGTACAACTAAGAGATAAGAGGACAACTAGTACAACTGGTGCAACTATGAGATAGAGGACAACTGGTACAAATAGGTATAACCAAGACAACTTAAATAATTGCTGATTGATAATTCCTTTATTATAATTGCAAATCGGGTTGGTAATCCAGTTTTATATGACGATTAGGTCTTTGCATGAATAATTTCTCAAATATAGTCATTGAATCGTAGTGATTCTTAGGTAAATTATAATTATACCTGAGTTCATCACCAAATCTGCAGAGGACAACTGGTACGAAAGGTACAACTAAGAGATAAGAGGACAACTAGTACAACTGGTACAACTAGAACAACTACGAGATAGAAGACAACTAGTACAAATGGATATACCTAAGACAATTTGAATAATTGTTAATTGAGATTTTTTTTATTATATTTTCAAGAGATAATGAGCATCAACCACACAAGCAATTCAATAGATTTTATATCATTTAATACTTCATATTTGGAGCAGATAACTTATTTGGTATTAGTAGATAAGATATTGTATATAAGAAAATTGCGATATATGAAACTAAACAGCTTTGGAGTAGATAATTTATGTAGAGAATGAATTTCACATATAAATGAAACTAAGTGGAGTATTTCTGATGATATACAAAAATTGTTTGTCTTAGTGCCGAATTAGACAAAAACAAAAAATAGAAAAAGTGGTTTATATTCTCCAAAAAAATCGCCGAAAGACGAAAAACAGATAATAAATTATATAAGTGGTCTCACAGCAAAAGTAGCATGGAGACTTAATTTGTGTATATTTTCGGTTTTATTTTATCCGAAAAGATTTTATTTTAGCTAAAGAAATTACATTTAAGCAGAAGAATTTTCATTCTGGATAGCCACATTATTCATTTTAGCACAGAAAATCTTTCCCAAATGGGGATAAACAAGGTACAGTTAGACACGTATATACAATTATATGTAACTCCTTAATTTTAAAAAAAAGGTACAGCTGAATGAAAGATTCAACTTATTTCAGCCCTAGAGTGTACATGTGTATTTTGGATTTCTTGGTTTTCTTTGATTTCTTGCATTATTATTTATTTTGGAGTTATTTGTATTTTGTATTTTTTGGATTTCTTTGATTTATTGTATTACTATTTATTTTGGAGTTATTTGTATTTTGAATTTCTTGGATTTCTTTGATTTCTAGCATTACTATTTTCAATTTCTCCAGGGCAACTAGATGAAACTCGATGCAATTACTAATGAATTTCTCCAGGGCAATTAGGTGCAACTAGGTACAGTTACGCTATGAATTTCTTCACGACAACTAGGTGCAACTTGGGACAACTATATTTTAATTGTAGTGTTTTAAAAAATTCTAAAATTATTTACTTAAAAACTAATACAACTCATACCCTAAAAACTGTATTTTTTCACGTCTATACTAGAAGGAAGAAAATAAAACTTTGTTTTGTTCAAAGAACCAAATATTTTTGGTTTCACTTGAAATAGCCCTTATGTTATAAGGAAGTCTTTGGAAATATTATCCATCTTATACAAGCGTCTATGCAAAAATATAGGAAATAGAAAAATAATAACGCAAAACACTTGGGGCTGCTATATAATGTTTGAAATTCTTGTGGACAACTAGAACATAATAATTTATGTGGAAGGACAACTGAAAAAACTACAAAATCGATCAAAAGACAACTATTACAAATTTTGGACAACTGGACAACTAGGTACAACTATGTTGTCAGTTGTAGACGCACGTGCGCCGACAAAAAGAGACATGTGCGCAGTCAAAGTACCACATGCACCGTCAATGTTGTACATAGTTGTATCCAGTTGTCTAGTTGTCCAAAATTCTTCACAGTTGTCCTTTGGCGATTTTAGCATTTTTTCCAGTTGTCCATTGATATAAATTATTACTTTGTAGTTGTCCACATGATTTCCGACTATTGTAGTCCATTTACAACATTTTCATACTACAATTTATGCAAAATCATAATTTTGGTTTTTTTCTATCATAAGATAGTTAACATTATCAAAGTCTTGATTGTATCATAAAAAGTGTTGGATGTGAAACCAATAATATGTATTGGGAAAACAATAATTTCATGTTATCCATCTTTTTAATTTTATTCTTTATAGTTTACGACTTTTTTTATTTTTTAAGTGAATGTTTGCTTTTTATATTTATAGTTTTATCATTATTATTTTCTAATGAAAGAATTGCATATAGTTGTACATATGTATCTAGTTGTACCTTGTTTATTTCCATACGGAAAGCATTCTCGGCCAAAAATCAAATCTTCTAGATTAGATTGAGTATCCAGTTGTACCACCTGTACTAGTTGTCCTCTTATCTCTTAATTATACAATTTGTACCAATTGTCCTCTACATATTTGGTGATGAATTCATGTATAATTATAATAAGAATCACTACGATTCAACGACTATATTTAAGAAATTATTCATGCAAATACATAATCGTCATATAAAATTGGGTTAATAACTCGATTTGCAATTACAATAAAAGAATTTTCAATCAGCAATTATTTAAACTAAACTTAGTTATACCTAATTGTACCAGTTGTCCTTTATCTCATAGTTGTACCAGTTGTACTAGTTGTCCTCTTATCTCTTAGTTGTACCATTCGTACCAGTTGTCCTCCTCTGGAGATTTGGTGATGAACTCGGGTTTTAATTTCAATCTACCTAAAAATCACTACGATTCAACTAACTATATTCGATAAATTATCTATGCAAAGACCTAATCGTCACATAAAACTGGGTTATCAATCTAATTTGCATACTGAACACTCAATTTTTGTAGATCCAATCCCTAAATTGTGAAATCCCTAAATCTCCAAATAAAAATCTCCAAAGAAAGAGGAAAATAGGAAGAGGCGAAGGATGAGATTTAGCAGGTTTGAGGTTGAAGACGAAGGGATGAATTTGGGAAGAAAAAAAAAACAAAATTTTTATTTTTTAATTAATTTTTGTTTTAATTTAAATATATTAATTTAAAAATTATTTAAAATTTATTTTTGATAAAATCACATATGCCACAAAATCAATTCATTAAGGGTAAAATGGGATTTTCATGTAATTTATGACACTCAGATTATATTATGGCACGACAAATTTCTTTTTTCCAAATTATGACATATCATATATATTATAAGCAAAGTAAAATTTTGAGTTAAAGCTCTCTCATTCAATTTTAGGGTGGCTAATTACCCTTTACCCCTTTTTATATTTTTTAATTAATTTTAATAACAAAATTATTAAAAATTGTAAATTAATTAAAAAATTATTAAAAATCGTAATTAAATAAAATATTAAAAATCGTAAATTAATAAAAAAACTATTAAAATCGAAATTTAATC